AGAGAGCTGCAAAGGGCAAAGGTCTCGTGTGGGTTCCGCCTTCTCCTACTCTCATTCAGAGCCACAAAACAAAGCCCGGCGACACCCACAAGCCCTGCAGACCTGGCCCCCGTCACCTCTCCAGCCTCACCTCCGCCCTGTCCGCACTCCCACTGCTTAGTCCCAGCCACGTGGGCCCCTGGCTGGTCCTCCAACACCCTAAGCTTCAGTCCTGTCTCTGCGGCTTTGCACGCGCTTGTCCTCTGCCTGGATTCTTGCCCGGATACCTGCAGGGCCCCTCCCTTGCCTCCTTCACGTCTCTGCTCATCCTCATCTTTCCAATGAGGCCTCTGTTGACCACCTGATTTTTATTAAAGCTTGTTCTCCACCACCCTCACCCCCACCCCCTGGAGCTCTCAATTCTTCCCTCCAGATTTCTTTTGTTCCGTAGTATTTACCACTACCTGATACAAGCACGTATGTGGTTATGGTCTGCCTGCCCCAATCCCCAGCAGAACATAAGCTCTGTCAGCACAGGTCTTTGTATGCTGCTGTTTCTATAGCGCCCGGCGCAAGGCCTGCAAAAAAAGTAGGTTCTCCATAAACTTTTGTTAAATGAACAACAAATATATTTTGATCCTATCTCCCCTTCTCCTGGAGTAGAGCTGAAGTTTCCCAATCTTTGCCTGATTGAAGGTCCTTCTGAGTTCAGTTTTGGGCAAGGAGAGTTCACTCCTACATTCCACAAATATGTAATGAACACCAATCATGACCAGCCTACGGGGGCTGCTGGGTGGTGGGAACATGGCAGTGAACAGGACAGGTAAGGGTCCCACCCCCAGAGGCTTACATTCAGGTGGGTTACATGCTGGGGACGTAGCATGTTCATTGCTCCAACCCCAGAGCTTGCCCAGTGACAGGTTCTGGAGTTGGACAGGGCACCAGTGGGAATCCACAGGCTGCCCACCAGCATCTCAGGTTCCCTGTCCAGAGATGCCAAAGAGGGTCATAGAGGAGTAGTGGGGAGTGGGGTCTCAGTGGGGCTGGCGTGGCAGGGAGCAGATGAAGACGGCACAGGTCGTCAGTAGGAGGGCAGCTCGTGGCTGGACTTGTCGGCCAAAGTCACTTCAAAGAATCTTCCAGCTCCCAGAACGAGCAGAGCAGATGACCACACGCCTGGGGGAGAACCAGATGGCTTCTCCAACCGGAACATTCTTCCCTAAGGATGGGCCAATGCACACAGTCCAAATGCTGGTACTTGACCTGAAAATCCTTCTGGGAGACTCCAGGTGAAAGGGCCTTGATTGCACCAGGGAGTGCAGCTAAGCCGTGGAGTTGGAACGATTGTTGGAGCAGTGAGTGCTCCAGGTGAAGCTGCTCAGTGAGTCACGAGATCCAAAGTCTGCCACGGTGAAGTAGGTGGACAACCACATTATGAGCATAAGCTCTGACCCCGATTTCCTCTAGCACATGATTTCCCTGACACCTGGTGTTGGAGATGGCAAATAAATGGGTGCAGGACAGAAGTTAGGGGCCATTACCAGGGATCAAGTAGCACAACACTTTTAGGAAGCAGGAGAGCTTGACAAATGGGCATAGTGTGCATAGGAAATGACAGGACAGGTGAAGCAAGAGGAAAGTGTATCATCTTCCTGTCAAGGGACTGGGACCAGCCCTGTGCCAAGAGGGCATGTTGAAGACATGATGTGTAAATCAGCTTTTGTGGTAGTAACAAATAGCCCCCAAATCCTGATAGATCCCCATAACAAATGTTTATTTCTTGCCTCTGAGTCTTCAGGTTGGCCATGGCTCCATGGGCATGGCTCAGCTCAGTAAGGTTCTGCTGAGCTCAGTTTGGCTCCAAGCTGTGGGTCAAGTTCAGGTCTGTTCCACACGTCCCTTCACATGGAGACGAAACTACCAAGAGGTCAAGCCAAGTTGTGCAAACACATTTAAAATTTCTGCTGGTGGAAGGTGTCGTGTCTGCTCATACTGCAATGACCAAAACCCACAGTGAGCAGAGTGGGGGAGTAGACACTACCTACTGAGATGCACTGCAAAGGCACAAGGCAGAAGGCTTGGGTGTGTAACCCTAATAAAGAGAGTAAGCACAATAGTTGGGAACAATCGTCTAGTCCATCACACACAGGAATGTGCCAGAGGGTCTCAGAGACTGCAGGGGATCCCCAAGGGCCAGGGTTCTCCTGGGAAAGGACAGCTCCCACCACTGCGTCCCTCCAGATTTCATCAGCACCTAGCTCGTCTGGCTCATAAAAGACCAGGATGGAGGTGAAAGCAAATAAAGACTTCACCTCCTGGTGAATTGCAGGTACCTCCATGCATCAGACGAGCCCATGTCCCTTTCTAAAGCAATCAGGGGCAGTGGTGGCAAAGAAGTGTAAAATAAACACCTACAGTAGCCAAAGAATCCCAGGAATTGCTGGACGTCCTGAATGGATTTGTCAAGCAGGTATGCACTTCAAGGCACACACTTTGTAGATATCCCAACAGGACACTGTGTGGCCTGGGAATTCCACAATGCTTAACTTTTTTTATGGAGAAAAGGTAATACAGATGTCTTTAAAGACCCCCCAAGAGGCAAGAATGGGCAAAGAACTTTTAAGGACAAAGAAATGCTTAATATTTAAGTTGTTTGCTGTGTTGTAACTCTCTTCCATAACACCATTTCTTCAGTAAAACCAAGTAAACACAGACACACACACACCCCAAGACACAGAAACCTCTCTCTTTGGCAATATAGCCCATCACCAGCAGCTGCAGCTAAACCCCTGGCCACCAGGACTAGAGAGAATAGCTTCGTTTGAAGTCCCACTGGTTGGGAGGCTGAAGTAACAGGACAAATTCCAACCCCCATTAAGCCAAGCTTGGTGTCCAGAGTGGGCCTGAAAGTGGGGGCCTGCAAAGGAGCTAGCTGAGGAGGGTGATGTTCAAAATATTGAAAAACCAGTATGGCACAGGTCCTGCCCAGTCAGGACCACGGCCAGCACACTGTAACCTGCATGCAAGTGACCGTGATCCCTGCATGCAGCTGGGGGAGGCTGTGGAACATGGAGATGGGAGTCCATCGGTAGGGTTGACATTGAAAGGTGAACAGCACCCGCCTGTGTGACCCGCTACTTTCCTGTGTGCAAAGGACTGCACATTTCAACCTGAGACCCTGGGGGGTCCTGCAGGGCATAAGCTAGATTTGTCTTCCTGCCTGCGGCGATCACCAATTATGTGTGCTGTGAGGCTAGCTGGCTTCCTGCCAGAGGAGGAGGTGAAGGGATTACAGCATCTCTCTCTCTCTCTGATCTAACTTATTAGGGAAGTTAAAGGACACCCATCCAGGTGGCAGCACAGCGCAGAGATAAAGAAGTCAGGGTTCAAATCCTTACTACCTGGGAGGCTGAGACAAGAATTCCTTAACCTGATCCAGAAAATGGGAAACCTCACAGCACTTCCTGCCTGGGTCGTGATGAAGACGAAATGGGCTAAGGACACCATTAAAGCCCTTATAGCAGCCTGTCCCAGAGTTGGCCTCCATAATGGGAGTCATTATTATTCTTCACAATGGGCAGAATGATCCAGAAGTCAGATCAGAAACTAACGATCAAAAGGGAAAGTGAGACACAAAAGCGACCTGGAGTTGGCAGTTCGAAGTCTGACTCAGAGGAGAGTCGTCTTTGTTAGTGTTTGCCTTTAGTCGTCCGGGACAACCCAACTAGGAAGTGGAAAGAGTGGGATCCAAGGCCTTTCTGGCAGGAATCTGTGCAGACACATTCTCATCCAGCCCCCACTCTGAGCAGCTGGCCCGGCCCAGCTAAACTGGAGGCTGGTGTCATTTGCAACAAGATAAATGATCTGTGCTTGAGAAGCAACATTAGCTGCCACTTCCCTGCCAGGGTGAAGGAAAACCAAATCAGACCCTAAATTACACTTGTAGGGCGCACCTTTCACACTGCAGTCTTTTAATTTTCTATGATAACCATGTGACATCTGAAAATACACACGAGTCTCTACAACACCTACCGATGGCTTTGTAAAATCCACCCGCTTCTTATGGAGCAGCATAGATTTTTGGAAACTCATGCAGGCTTTTCTTCTCATCTCCAGATGAGAAGTCTGCTGTGGACGGGAGACCACAGAGAGAACCCAAGAGGTGCCAGTGGAAGATCAAAAGCACCCAGGAAGCGTAACTTATCATCCGAGGAACGCCATGCCAAACAGCTTCAACTGTGCCTTTCAGAGGGTGCAATACCCAGGAACTGGCAAACACCCCTGCTGTCCCCCTTTCCGGACCCCTGACTTCCTGAGACCAATGCCAAGGTCATCCTGGCAACTTCCAGAAGTAACTTTCCCCCAGCAGGACCAGGCCAGTGGGCAGGGTTTGTTCAGCAGTGCCAATATCACATTGGTGACTGACTTACCCAAAGTATTTTTATTTCTTATTTCCACCCATCTTCCAAAGCTCAGAGCAACTTAAACCCCAAGGGCCACCACCTCCACCAAAAAAAAAGGGAGGGGGAATATTTTTGAAAGCTTAGCTGATAACTCCACAGCCATTCATCCAGCTGACTCCCAAGGAAATAGAAAGCATCTGGAAAATGTATTTTCAAATTGATTTAACGTTGAGCCATGTTAAATGTTTTAATTTCCAGGCAATGCTGCGCCCACCAGAACATCAATTAGTCCCAGCAATCAGGAACGAATATTGGCTTCTGTTGAGGGATTCATTTATTTCAGCTCTGCTAAATATTGAAGGAGGAGAAGACCAATGTAGCCTGTGGCTCCCAGGAAGTAAGACTAAGCCGGAGTAGAAACCAGATCAGGCCCTGGCTACCACAATGCCTCTCCTGCACCCTCCTCTCTTGAGAGGGGAGGCAGTAACTTGTAAGGTCTTCATGCTGTCAGAAGTCACCCTTCCTTCCCCACAGGTGCTCTGTCTCCAAGCTGGAAAATAAAAGAGGCTGAAATGGAACAGGGAAGGGCTCCCTGCGGAGGAGACTGGCTGGATTAAAAATCTGCAAGATCATTTTTAATAATTATTTTTCCTTTTGGGGCCTTTTAAATGTCAAGGCCCAGGGGTCTCTCTGCCCCAGGTGAGGCTCTTGGTCCAGGTAAGGGTCTCCCACAGTCTGAAGTGCCCTCTGTCTCAACACGCTTTGGCCAGCTGCTTGGGACACCCAAGGGGCAATGCACTCAGGCCACTCCCCACTGAGGCTTGGCCATCAGAACCAGCAGGAGGCAGCCAAGTCCAAGGCCCCGAGAGATGGGAGCTCCTGAAAGCAAACACAAGGCAAGAGTACACGTGAGGCAGGACGCAGAGGGCGGACGCATCATGCCCAGCTCCCTGAGTCTCTCTCTAGGACCACTCAACTCCAAACCTTGATTTGTTCATCTCTTAAGTGGAAGTAATGACCTTAAAGGAGTGGGAGGCAGGGGAGTGAGAATTAAACAAGATTATGTGAATCAGCACAGTATCAGATCTGCCTTAATTGTAAGAGTCACCTGAGCAGCTTGTTAAAAATGCAAATTTTATGATCCTCCCTTGAGAGTCTGATTCAGCAAGTCTGCAAAGAGGCCCAGGAATTTGTATTTTAAGCATCACTCCCAGGTGATTCTGATAATTAAGCAAGATTAAGAAACAAGAGATTAAGGGTCTGGCCCACAGGAAGGGTTCACCCAATGGCAGCCTTCACTCAGGCCTGTGGGGTGAATGGAAGAAGGGCATCTAGGATCTTACCTGGCTGAGGACAGGCAGAAAACATCTTTTTAAGGGGCCCTCATCACTTTCTGACACTGCTGTTTCAAGAGAAAACCAGTCCTGCCTTTCTGCGGGGGATCTGACAACATTCATCAAAATTACAAATGCACATACTCTATGATCCAGCAATCCCACTTTGAAGAGTTTATCCTACAGACACACTCAAACAGATGCAAATTATTCAAGGTCATTGGCTGCAGCATATTTTGTAACAGTAAAATATTAGAAACAACTGAAATGCCCATTTATCGAGATCTGGTTAAATACCGTTGTGGCATAGCCATAAAACCAAAAATTGCACAGCTCCTGTGTACAGATACGGAACTGCCTCCAAGGTATATTGTTAGATGAAAAATGCAAGGTGTAGAACAACGTGTATAATAAGCTTTTGTAAAAGTGTGGAGATAATCTCTATTTGACTTGCTGTGTATGCGTAGAGAATCTCTGGACGAATACATGGGAAGCTGGTAACACTGGTTGCCTCTGGAGAAGGGAACTAGGTGGCTAGGGGACAGGGGAAAGGTTTTACTACATACCTTTTTAGGCTTTAAATGTTTTGATTCGGAACATGTAGGTGCCCAAATACACAGGTTGAATTAATCAATAACAGTGAGAGGAGGGAGGATGCAGACGAAGCATTGAAATGAATTTAGTCCTTAGAGATCCTCATTCAATTGGTTCTGGGTGAAGCTGCAGGAGCTAGAAGTCTGTTAAGGCTCCCCAGGTGATTTTAAAGTGCAGCCAGAGTTGAGAATCATTTATGCGAAGCTTGGTAGGGACTTTGGGTTTCAGTGCCGAATCCCCCATGACTGTCAGAGACCCCACCCTGAATCTTAGTAACCTTTCCTCCCCAGGTCCCGTGGGGCGGACAGAGAAGGACGCAGGGGCAGGGGACGGACCGGCGGCTGCGCTCACCTGGGGGAGAGCACGAGGCTGGCGTCCTAGTGGGAACGGCGCTGGCCGGCGCGTCCTGCCAGGGCTGAGCCTTGGCGCCATCTAGCGCCCGCTGGAGGCTCTGCAGCTGTGCCGTGCCGAGCCGCTGGCGCTGGGCGTGGGTCACGGCCGCCGCGTTCTCCGGACCCAGGCAGGCGATCTGCTCCGCGGACAGCTCCTGCCGCGGGAGAGGGGACAGCGCCCTCAGAGCGGGCCCCTCCCCGGCTTGCCCGAACTCAGTCATCCGCCGGGGTCTGCACAACATTGCCACACCCGGGTGCCATGTGTGATGCTCTTTAAGATTGTTTCCTTAAAATTAGATCATCATTCTTTTGCTACTAAAATAAATGTTTTTAAAAATAGACAACTTTAAATGGAAATTTCCAAAAATGGAAAACCAGAAGGACTTGCCATAAGCAAGCATTAAATGGAAGCCAAAAGAAATAAAACAACATCATTGAATCCTGGCTGGATCTGTTGGCCAACAACATCTGAACCCCTGGCCCCTTGGGAGAGAGAGGAGGGAGGGAGGGAGAGAAAGAGAGAGGATATAAAAAGCATTATAGAGGTGTTACTGCTCCAAACTAAGACTTCCTCCTTGAAGTAATCAGAAGTATTAAAGGAGAGCTGAAAGAGTAGTCACGATTTTCTCACTGTGTGACTTAATGTTGTTTAATGCGATCCCAGCCAGCCACCTTCCCGAGGCTTCAGTCCTCCACCTCAGCAAACACCGGCTTCAGGCCTAACGTCCAAAAACCTGAGTCTGAGAATCTGAGCCCCAGCTCTGCCACATGCTAGCTGTGTTGAGTCAAGTAAGTTACCTAGCCTCTCTCTGCCTTTGGACCAGATGTTGGGATGACACAGAGATCTATCTCATCTCCTATGCAGATAGATTCTGTCCTTTGGCATCACTGCCTGAATACTGCCTGGTGAGTCCTGTTAGGGCTCAGTAGGGCGAAAGTGCAGCAATCTATTGGTGATGTCTGCCATGGATCACAGGAGTGGGAAATTCTGCCGGGTACACTATGCCTTTAAGGACTCTGAACAAGATGTTTTCTGAAGTCACTTCCAGCTCAAAGGATTTGGTGACTAGTTCCAGTGAGACTGGAATAAGATGGGATGGCAAGATTCTATTTTTGTAGAGGGGACTGCAAAGTCATCCTGCTTAATTTCTAAGGGCCCCAAAGAGCCTGGGAAAGGTGTTTATATTCCCTCATTCCTTTCTCTTCTCTCAGATATCCTCCTCTTCTGTCCAGGAACTTCCCTGGAATCATATTTCTCTGCTTAGAGCACTTCCCTGCACCCCACTCCAGGACATAGCTCATGCTCCTGAACATGGTGTCCTACTGGCCTGTCCAGCCTCACCTCTGGCACTCTCCACTCCAGGAGAATTAGCATCAATATTGACAGTCCCTACGAGGCAGCACTTTTATGTGCACTTCCTTCTGCCTGTTCCTCCCCTTCCACCTAGTTGATCTGTCCTCAGAAACTCAGTATCACCTCCTGTCCTCCTGCCACACATACACACAGCATAGGTTCCCTTCTGGCTTATGTCTGCCGTCAACACAGGGTCTGTTTTGCAGGAATTACATATTTTTCCAATGTTTCTGACTTGTGACCCACAGGCCAGATTGAATCTCTAGGCCTACTGCACTGTGTTTTCAAAAAATTAATTCAGATTGGCTGCCAACATTTAATTATCAAGAGATTCCATATGAGACTCTTTGGCTTCTTCTAGAAAAAAACAAAAAGGAAGATTCAGCAAAACTGGGCCCACATGGTCGCACTGCATTAATGTGCTAGAGGTGAGAAGCAGCTCTCTAGTTCACTCGGTTCCTACCCAGCCCACTGCACTACTCTATGTTACCTTCCAGGCTCCTCGAAGGCAGTGTTATCACCCCTTCACCAGGGCACCCCAAGGTGCACCTAGCCGGAGCCTACTGCAGAGTAGGTGGTCAAGTAGCTATAACTGCACTCCAAACAAGACCAAAAGAAAGTGTTTAGCAAGGACCAAAAGAAAGTGTTTAGCACAATGGCAGCATCCAAGACCACATTGCCTGTCCCATGCAGAGTGCCCCAAAGAGGCAACAGGCATTTAAGGAATGCTCATTTATGGCTCCTATGCCTGCTGTGTGCTGGGAGCTGTTCAGGGTGCTGAAGTAGTTCAAGGTTGGCTGTCTTGAAATGAACCAGGGGTGTGGCATCTTGGGAGTTTGTCTAGCCTGGTTTGTGTGTGTTATCCACGAGTGGTGGACAGGATGTGTTCCCATATTGCCCAGCAAGCAAAGACACCAGGGAAACTCATTTCTCATTAGTGCAGACTGGCCCCTGCAAACATGCTCCTAATCTTGTACACAGACAGGAAGCAAGGATCTCTCACTGGATCTCCTGCTTTTCTTACTTCAATTCACACAATTCTACCCTTTCAATTTTTTTCATATCCCTATTATGGATTTCTTAATACTTTTCTTTCAATTAACTAAAATAGTTTACTTGAATTTATTATAAAAGGAAATCGCGTTATACAGGTCCACAATCCCTCATCTGCCATTCTTAAGTCCAAAAAGAAGTCTGAAAACTGGAAGTTTTTTCCCAAAGTTTAAGACAAACTTATTTATCAGCAAAACTTGACCTGAATTGCTATGAAGTTATTTATTTATAGTCTCTATTTATTTTAATTAGTGTGACTTGTCAGACATTTCTTTGCAGAAATATGAATGTGTTTGGTTTACATGGTGCTTTCCCAAATACTGCTGGGAGTGTTAAGTTACAAGCAGTCTATGCACAGGGTGATCTTTTAAAAATCTGAATAATTCTGGATTCTTAAATATATCTGTCCACAAGAGTCTTGCATAGGGTTTATGAACCTTTCACACCACCATAAATAGAAAATCAGTAGCATTTGCTATGAAGAGAAGGTGGCCATTAAAGTAAATATAATTAAAATGTAAATTGAAAATATAACAAAAAACTTAAAAAAAAAACCTATAATTATCTTGCAAGCATCTACTGTTGGCATACAGGTCTACTCTGGCCCTATCAGCAGATTCCTGATTGCAAACCCCTAAATTCCAAGGCCTGTCCGTCCCTGTGTGGTTTGAAATAGGGTCAAGCTTCCCATTTCTCCTTGAAGAACTGAGCACCTACTTTGAATATCTCATCAGGAAGGCATTTTATTGCTGATGGCTGGAAATACGGCATCAAATCCTTGTTGAGCATCCGGAGCTCTGCTTTAGTTAATCCAGCTGGGGAGAAAAAGGAATCACGAGGGTTTAGTTCAAGCCATCGGAACTGCGCTTGTTTTATTAATGGTGCTGCATAATGTACAGTTCTGCGTGTTCTAGGCAAGCATCATTCCTTACAAAAGGCCCTGAAAATCACACTGGGGAATCGAGTACCTCAATCAACTCAGAAAAAAAAAAAAGTGAGTCACATTAGCCCTGATTGGCCACCTACAGTGAAATGTAGGCCCAGAAGAGCTTCAATTTACACACTTTCAAATTGTGTATAAACCTATTATAGGGGCCAATTAAATCACATTCTAAACTAGTGTTTTTCAAACTGTAGTGTACACAAGAATCACCAGGAGAGCTTGTTTAAAAGCATATTTGCAGACCCACCCTCTGCAACTTCAAATCATGAAGTCTAGGTTCTACTTAATTCCATCAATGTTTTCTACATGTAGCCAAGAATTATTTTATTTTATTTTATTTTTGTCCCCAGAGGTAAGTTTGGAAAGGGAGAGAAAGGCATGCTCAGGGTGCCACTTACCTGCAATGGTCCCAAGCTCCTGCAAGACAGAGCTGGTCCACTCAGTGGGATCCCCAAATACAACCTCTGCCTTCCTTTTAAACTCGGCCAAGACATGGGTGCTGCAGAGCAGGGTCCCAATTCTGGCCACTACCACCCTGGTTAAAGAAGGACAGATGAACTTGGGGAACTCTCCAGCCAAAAAAAAAAAAAATCATATTCAGAACATAGCAGGGCTCAGCACCAAGAGAGGGTCCAGCTAATCCCACTCCCTGTTTTAGCCCAGAAATGTTCAAAGCATCAGGAAGTGGAGAACATCTTGGTGGATGGATAGATGAATTAATAAGTCATTTGCCATTTTTCACAATAGCATTTTGGTTACCTGAATTCTGAGATCTTTATAAGTGGGATTTCGGTGATGTTCATAGCACACAGGGTTGCACCAAGGCCCACTAAATGAAAGCTCTTCAGATCCTGGATACTATAGCCTGAATCATCCAAGAACCCTTGCAGAATGGATTTAGCCTATAAACAATGAGAAAGGATAGAAGATGAACTATCCAAGGATGATCAGGACCCCAACGCCTGTGAGGGTAAGTGAGCTGTTGCCATAGACTCCTGACCATTACCCTCCCTGCTATAACCCTCTGGAATCCCACTCCATTTCATCTTGGCCACTACATCCAGATTAATAATGTCCTTAAGATGCTGCTTCAACTGAGTATGCACCCTGATCTATGGAGGTGTCTTTAGGCAATGAATCTCCTGTATACTTCACTGATATTAAAGGCAGCTGTGTGCTGGGTCTGTTGCTTATTTCTGAAGGTCGTTCTTATGACCTTCAGACAGTTTGGACATTCAAGTTCTTTTGTATCTGAATCAAAAAAATTTCCAGCATCTGTTTCCACAAATTTCCAACAAAATCTTTTAATTTCCTGCCTCCCTGCCTTTGCACAAGCCAGTCCTTCCATCTGAAATGCCCTTCTGCATTTCTGTTAGAATCCAGCCATGCTTTTATTTTTGGGGTCGATTCAAATGTCACCTTCTTCATGACAGTTCAGCCAGAATGAATTTTTCTTCCTCTATGGTCCTACAGAAATATATTTGCCCCTTGCTCTTCAATTCCAGAGACAGAGTAGCATATGAAATGCCATGGTGTTAAAGCATTTAAAAATGAGCCTTTATTTAAGGGTGCTGATGTGTAGGGTCTCTGTAATTCTATCATAGTGGCTGTACATTCTTCATTACTTCCTCTGGAGAGCCACCCCTCCCACACTCTTACTTCATGTAGTTCAGTCAAAACAAACTGCTCCCTGAGTTCCAGGAGTGATGATATGGCCCAATTCTGGCCAATCAAGTCATCTCTTAGCCTGGCTGCAGGGACTGGTTCTGGATTGGGCATGTGATCCAGCCAGAGCCAATCAGAACTTTGACTGGAACAATTAGAAGTGTTTTCTTTTCTCTGGACTTGAACTTAGAAGGATATACATGAGGACCTTCCAGAACCCACCACATGGAGGAGAGACCCTTCCTCTCAATGAAGCCAACAGAAAGAAAAGAAGAGTCCAAAAAAGATGGTGAGTGACAGAGTCCCAATAACAGTGTTGAAGCTCCTGGAGCCAGTTACCTGAACTCTATCCCTGAACTTTTAAGTTATGGGGGTCAATAAATTCTTTTCTTGCTCAAGCCAGTTTGTGTTGGGTTTTCTGCCACTTGTAACTAAGCAAGCCCTGATTCATTTGATCCACCTATGTTGGATCTGAGGAAGCATCCAAGCCAATCCCTCGGTGATGAGCTATATAATAAAGCCTAGATCCCACAGTGCTCATGGGGGAAAGTGGAAAGATTGCAAGAGTCACAAAGCAAAGATGGGAAGGAGACATCCAAGGACACATCTCCTGAATAAGAGTGAAAGTCACCAAGATAGAGTCAATCTTCCCTTCCCTAACATTAGTCATCCCCATCACACGATACGGATCCTCACAGTGTTGAGAGGAAGTGTTGAGAAAGATTGTGAAATGTTGCAGTAGAGTCCAGTTTTCATGTGGCTGTGGCTTCCTGTCCCTTAGGTCTGTTTAAATGCTTCCTCCTCAGAGAAGATTGCCCTCTGGACTCCCCCATCTCAGTCTCCCTCCCCACTATCCCTAGGAGCACCTTCTCCATATTCTGCATCAATTATCACAGTGTTTTTAATTTTTAGTTTTGATCACTCATTTTTTGTCTGTGTCACCAAGCAGACTCCCCAAAGACAAGGACCATATATGGGTAGTTCAACGTTGTGTCCCCAGCACCTATCACAATGCCTGCCACACAGTAGGAGTTCAATAAGTACTTCTGAGTAAATGAATGAATGAATGAATATCTGAGGGAGCGACCTATAGAAGTCATAGGCAATATACTCCTTTGAAATGCATCGTTTTGCTACCTTCATGTAATGGCCTGGCTTCAGGGAGATTTCCTATGTTTCTGCAAACCAGACTGATCGGTGTCTTTAGTAAGTTGTTCTCTGTGATTATAAGGCTCATAGCTACTACTGGGGTGAGGGGATGTTCAGTAATACCATTATTAGACATGAATGTCTTTGCCTGAATTGGAACGTGTACCCAAAGTAATAATAGCTAACATTTATTGAATGCTTACTGTATGTTGGCACAATTTTGACCACTTTATACATACTATCTCATCTAATCCTCCCAACAGGAGGTAAGTATTAATATTATCCCTATTTCACAGATTAGCACACTGAGGCACAGAGAGCACAGAGAGATTTAGCAATGAGGCCAAGGTCACACAGCTAGAAAATAATGGTTCTAGGCTCAAAACCCAGGCAGGCTGACCCCAGAGCCTACTCTCTTAGCTAGTGAAGATGTGTGATCATGGAGAAAAGATGGAGATTCAAGTCAGCCTTTAGTTTTTTCTTATTAAGTCTTCATAACCGGGTTTCACTAGTTGACTCATAGCAATTTGTGCTCCCCAACTATCAGGCATGCTCATTTTAAGATGAAAGTGCAAAAATACAATTCAAATAAAATTACTTTGATATGTGGTATTAAATTGTCCTTGCCACCGAAACCCAGAAAATGCAAGCTCAGCCTGTAAGGTGATAAGTCAAAATACATTTCCTTGAATGACTAGACCAGAGTATATGTAATGATTCCAAGACAATTAATACCAACACTTTTAGGCAATATTAACTGCTGAAAAATGAAAAGCTGTAAGATTTCAATCTCTCTGTTCATCTCTCTGGCTTCTATAATGGTTTTTTTCCCTTATATTGGTTTTTAAGCTGAACTATCTGTTAATGTAGTTCCATCAGGTCTGACTATTAATCTAGAAACATGCATTTAAGGGTTTGATTGGGAGCTAAAGTTGAGGAACTGACTGCAAATGATATATGCAAATGTTAGGTTTTCATATCCTCTTCAAACATATTGATAAATCTCACTGCCATCCACGGGAATTAAAATTGGTGCAAAAGGAAAGAGATACCCTAGTTTCTCAGTTGGATATATTTTTCTGTTTCTCCCAGACTGCAAATAGAATGATTTTAATAGCAGAAGTGTGATATGGCACTTCTCAAACTAGTCAAAACCAGTTTTAGAGTCATAGAACCACAAGATTATTGAATATCCGAGTGGAAGGAACCTCACGTTGTTGGGTCTAACCCTCTCGTCTTGCAGATGAGGAAACCAACCCAGAGAAAGGGAGCGTGATGATGATGATGACAATGACAACAATGACAGTGATGACAACAACAATGAAAACAACTAATTTTTATTGACTACTATGGTATGTACCAGATATTGTTCAAAATGTTTTCTATGTATTAACTCATTGAATTTTCACAGCCAGGCCCTCCATGTTTCCCAACTCCAGGGGGCACCATTCGCCCTGTACTCTGTTTAAATGGCACCACACAGACTCAAAGGACAAGCACAACCTTGCTTACAAAAAGCTCATGAGAGTAGGGGACGTGTGTTGCTTTTGCCTGCTTGGCATCCATTCTCCCCATGTTTAATAGCTTTGCCACACTTTTTCTTTGGAGAACTACCCTGTATTATAATGGTTTCCTACTGCTGCTGTAACAAATGACCACAAAATCATTGGCTTAAAACATACATATTTATTGCCTGACACTTCCGGAGATCATACACCCTAAAATGGGGCAGCAGGGTGTGTTCCCTCTGGGGGTTCTAGGGAGAATTCATTTCATTGCATTTTTTTCTAGCTTTGAGATGCCATCTGCATTCCTTAACTCGTAGCCCCATCCTCAGTCTTAAAAACCAGCAGCAAAGTGCCTTGAAATCTCCTTCCGCATCCCTCTGCTTCCCTTATCACATCATCCATATCTGTGGCTCTCGGGCCTCCCTTTTAGGACCCTTGTGATTACATCAGGCCCACTCAAGAAATCCAGGATAACCTCCCCTTCTCAAGATCCTTAAATTAATCACATCTTCGGAGTCTCTGTAGCCACATAAGTAACACAGTCACAGGTTCCAGGGGTTCATACGTGGACATCTTTGGGGGGCTTTAATCAGCCTACCACATACCCTCGCCCACTCTGAGCCCATGTTGCCATGGTGAGATGGACTCACTCCCTTTTGCAGGCCTGGATTGCATGGGGGTAGGCAACGATATGACTGGAGTTAATGCTGGGACTTTTTCAAAAACTAATAAAGAGGCCCATTTTCGTAAGGTAGCTAATTAGGTAGTATATAAGCCCAGTGCTGAAAGTGACCACCAAGAGAGAGCTGCCTGAGAAGGAAGATAACATAGAAGAGCTAAGACTTCCCTTTCCAGCAGTACCGTGGATTAGTCATCCTCAAATTCTCTCCCAGTTGAAAAAATTAAAATTCTGGGGAGAACTTCTTTATCTCATGAAGGATTAATTGACACAGGAATTGTCCTCCCACCATAAGCAACTAGAAAACTGAACAAAATATAAGAAACAACTGTATCCAAATATTAACAAAGAACCATAATTCTAAAAGAAGGAAAACAAACAAAGTGAGCCCTACAATTGCCCTCACTTACTGCCCTAAGGCCATTTCCAGGCCATGGATCAGGAAGGGGAATCTAAACAAGCCCAGTGATCCAGCTGAGTTGAAGATACAGAGATCCAAGTTCAGAGTCCAGGGCACCTATCATTTGTGGGCAAAGTACTGGATAGGAGGAAACTGCATAGAGAGAGAGTTCCAGAAATCTGAAGATATGCCTTCTTGAATACTGAGTGCTTATTTGCACATGCAAGTAATAAAATTCCACATAGGCAAGGAAAGAGTCATCAGAAAATCGTAGGCTGAGCAAGCCCCACAGCTCATATCAAGACAGAAATAGTTTACATTCCCACCAGCCAGAGTGGAGAGGTATTGAAATACATGGAGCATTAGGCAGAATCTTCAAAAAGAATCATTTCTCAGTAATGGGGGTAAATTAACCACAGAATAAAAGTCACTCTGGATTCACTCTAATAAAGCTCAAAAGGATGCATAAAAAGGATCAAACTGACTTGAAAGTAACTTAAATGTATGCCAGAACAAAAGCCCAATACTCTTTGAAGGAATACTACTAAATCAAGCACTCAACAATGTAAAATTCACAATGCCCATTATCCAAATAAAATTATTAGGCTTCAAACAAGCAAAAAAATATGACTCATAACTAAGAGAAAAATCAGTCAATAAAAACAGACTCAGAAATGACAGTGATGATGAAATTAGCAGCAAGGATATGAAAGCAGCTATTATAAACACTGTATGTTCAGAGATATAAAGGAAAACATAGGCAAAACTAAGAGAGAAATGGAATATTTAAAAGACCCAGTGGCATCTACCAACCTGTCCTGGGGTCCATTCTGTCTGCTGGCTCAGGGAAGCCACAGTGTCTATGGAGCTGAGGTCCAGCTGCTCCAGCTCACTCTCATTAAGAGCCAAAGCAATGCGTCCCATGGAGACGATATGGTGTTCTCTCCAGTATGAAGGCGTGTCCCAAACCTTTGGGTGAAAGAGAAAATAGATTAGACTGAACATTAGTGATGGTATTTACTGTGATCTGAGTGTTTGTGTCCCCCCACCAAATTCACACTTTTAAACTTAATCCCCAGTGGTAGTATTAGAAGGTAAGGCCTTGGGAGATGATTAGGTTGTGATGGGGGAGCCCTCATGAATGGAATTAGTGCCTTATAAAGGAGACCCCAGAGAGCTAGCTAGTCCCTTTCTAACATGTAAAGACACAGTGAGAAGGCTCCATCTATGAGAATCAAGCCCCCACCAGACACCGAACCTGCCAGCACCTTGGTCTTAGAACTCCCATTCCCCAGAACTGTGAGAATTTTCTGTTTATAAGTTACTCAGTCTAAGATATTTTGTTGTAGCAGCCTGAACAAAGACATCATTTAAAACAGATATAGGGAGCTCTATTGTACAGCATAGTGACTATAGTTAATAATAATATACAGTGTTCTTGAAAACTGTGAAGAGAGTAAATCTTAAATATTCTCACAACAAAAAATGACAAGTATGTAAGGTAATGGATATGTTATTTTGCTTCATTTAAGTATAAATTATTTAAGTATATATACACTATATATATATATCAAAACATCCTGTTGTACACTATAATATATACAACTTTTATATGTCAACTATACCTTCATAAAAAATTTTAAAAGACTTAGGGTAAATCTTTTTGTTGTTGTTGTTGTTGTTTTGTTTTTTTTTTAGAGTGGGTGCCGTGGCGTAAGTCTATCTCACAGCAAACCTCAAACTCCTGGGCTCAAACAATCCTACTGCCTTAGCCTCCTGAGTAGCTGGGACTACAGGCATGCGCCACCATGCCCGGATAATTTTTTCTATATATATTAGTTGGCCAATTAATTTCTTTCCATTTATAGTAGAGACGGGGTCTCGCTCTTGCTCAGGCTGGTTTCCAACTCCTGACCTTGAGCAATCTGCCCACCTTGGCCTCCCAGAGAGCTAGGGATTACAGGCGTGAGCCACCGTGCCCGGCCAATCTTCTTAATATATAAAGCTCTCTTATAAATCAATAAGGAAAGTATGATTACATTTGTTTTTAAAAAGAAACAAAAACCATCAACAGGTAATTCACAAAAGAAGAAGTAAACATATGGGGAAAAGTTTATTCTCAGTTATAATTAAAGAAGTATCCACCTTGAATGGGTTGAAGAAAAAATGTTTAATTTAAAATAAAAAAACAAAAAAATGTACATTAAAAACAATCAAAGAGCATATTGGCTCATTATATTGACAAGGAGTAGAACAATCATCATTTATGATGCTAGAAAGATATGAGGAAAAGGATACCCTTGTTTTTTGTGGTCGAGAATATAAATTGGTACACATTTTTGAGAGGGCAATTTGGCTATCTGTATCAAAGAGTTTTAAAATATTTATACTCTTTGACCCAGAAATCCCACCTCTGGGAATTGAGCCTAAGTAAATAATGAGACCAGTGCCCAAAGATTTATGTATAAATGCATACCTGAGGCATTAAAAAACACAAACAATCTAAAAGTCTAACAATTAGCTAAATAAATAAGGATCAATGGAGGCTAAGGCAGTAGGATTGCTTGAGCCCAGGAGTTTGAGGTTGCTGTAACTAGGTTGACACCATGGCACTCACTCTAGCCTGGGCAACAAAGCAAGACTCTGTCTCAAAAAAAAAGGATCAATCATAAATGAAATGCAGTTGTCCTTTGGTATTCACTAGGGATTGGTTCCAGGACCCCACAGATACCAAAATCCAAGGATGCTCAAGTCCCTTATATAAAATGTTACTGTGTTCACATGTAACCTACACACACACATCCTCCAATATACTTTAAGTCATCTCTAGACTACTTATAACACTCAATACAATGTAAATGCTATATAAATAGTTTTTATACTATATTGGGTGTTTTTTTGGTTTTGGTTTTGGTTTTTGAGACAGGGTCTCACTCTTTTGTCTGGGCTAGAGTGCAGTGGCATCATCAGAGCTCACTGCAACCTCAAACTTCTAGACTCAAGCAATCTTTCTGCCTCAGCCTCCCCCATAGCTGGGACTACGGGCATGAGCCACCATGCCTAGCTTATTTTTTCTTTTTCTTTTCCTATTTTCTTTTTTTTTTTTTGTAAAGATGGGGTCTCACTATGTTGGTCAGACTGGCCTCAAACTCTGGCCTCAAGCTATCCTCCTGCCTCAGCCTCCCAAAATGCTAAGATTACAGACATGAGCCATCACACCTGGCCTGGTTTTCATTTGTTTTGTTGTTGTTGTGTTGTTGTATTTTTATTTGGGGGGTCCAAATATTTCCAATCTGTGATTGATTGCATCTGAAGATGCAGAACCTGTGGATTAAGAAAGCTAACTGTATTACATAGCTATTTAAAATACTGATATGGATTTATATTTCTGACAGAAAAATATGTACTCTGTACTGTTGGGTGTGGAAGGCCAGTTGTTGAATAATAGATGATGGTGACACCACTTTTTGTCACATATATGTGAATACACATGAAATATACATATGAAATATATAACTATATTTTATACACATACACAGAAGTCTGGGAAGCTTCAGATGTCTATACCAAAATATCAACAGTGCTTATCTCTTAGTAAAAAATTATGACTGATTTTCTTCTTTATAATTTTCTGACTTTTCTACAATAAACTTGATTTACATAAAAAATAGTTATAAATATAGTATTAAGAAATGTAATTTTTTTAACCCCCTGAAGGTAACTAGATACTCCACAACTATCTGCACAGCTAAAACAAGTCACTCAAAGGGACCTTTTTAATGATGGCAAACTACTTCCAGTGCTCTTTACTCCTTTCCGCTATGTTTTCAGATGAATTTGCAACAGATTCTAAGAAAAGACAGTGCGAGCAGCAGCTGGAGTTCCCCAAGTGAAGGAAGAAAGGCACAATTCCTGAGAACCAGCTTGGTCAGAGCCATGAGAACAGCCACAGAACCTGCTTTACTGAGCACCTGCTAGATGCCAAGACACATCTCATCCTGTTCTCTGCCATGGCCCTAAGAGGGAGGAACTAGTTCTTGCCCCGTTTCTCAGATGAGGAGATCACAACCACATCCCTGAGCTGATGCAGTGAAATTTCAACAGGATAATGCATGCGAAAACTCCTCGAGGAGAGCTCAATGTGCAGAAACGCTGACCTGGTTTTGGGTGTGGGTTTCCCCCCCTGTTTAATGTTTCGTCCCTGAGGTGGGCTTCACCTGTACTGCCTTCTCCTTCAGGGCCAGCAGCTGAGGCAGGCTGAACCCCTTCACAGCCCCCAGCAGCTCCACGTTCCTGATGAATGTGTCTTCCTGTATGCAGAGCAGGTCCTCCGGGGCCCAGCAGGCATTGGCTTCAGCCAACTTGAAGACATCGTCTGAAGAAGGAGCCGGGACTCCATGGCAACCTGAAGAAAGCGGAGATGCGGGGAAGGAGCAGAGGAAAGAATTTCAGGAAATGTTAGTCTGTTTCTTTATTGAAATGAATAATTTTCTCCGCCAGTCAGATGTATTCACGAGAGGCAGTATAGTGTAGAAGTTAAAAGCAGAGACCCAGGGACCAGTATGAATCCCACTTCTGCCATTTCTTGCTAATTACCTGGTAACAAAATCATGGAAATGCCAGCTTTTTGTACTTCCACATGCACAAAAGCTTTGCAACATTATAACTGGTCTACAAACCCCTTGAGGCCAATAAGAGCGGGTGGTAAACAGTCCTGACTTTAGATTCAAATCCAAAACTATTCAGCCCCTCTGTACTCAGTTTCTTTGTCTATAAAATAGGGATTAAAATCACCCTCTAGGATAGTTGTGAAGACTAAATGTGTTATATATATATAGCACTTAGTGCCAGGCATACAGTAATCACTCAATACATGTTAGGCATTAGCCAACCACACCGGCCTCTACTTACCACTCCTCTCTCACTCCTGTCACCCTCCCTCTGCCTGGAAGACTCTAATTCCAAGTATACACATGGCCCACGCCATACTTCCTTGGGTCTTCATTCAAATGTCACATTCTCAATGAGATCTTCCTTAATGGTTCTCTTTTCACATGACAATCCCCCTGCTGACACTCCGGACTTCTTTCCTTTGCTTTATTTTCCTTCTTGGCATTTATCATACAACATACTGCAAGCATGCATTTTACTTATGTGCAGAATTTAATGTCTGGTTACTCCCCATTTGAAAGGAAGCTTTGTGAGGGCAGGGATTTCTGTTTTGTTCACATAGTCAGTGCTCAATAAACATTTGTTGGATGAATGAAAAAGCAAGCACCCACTGTCAACTATTATTATATTGGGTCTGATTAACTTTGTTTCCTTGTGGCTGGCACAAGTCCATACTTAGTGGGTGCACAGTAATGATAATAAAAAATATCTCAGCAAGATAATAAAAAATATCTTAGCAAGCAGTTCCTACATGCCAGGCACTGTTGTGAACATGTTTATAGGTTTAAACCTATTAATCCTCACAATAACCCATTGAGGTAGAGGCTTTCATTATCCCCATTTTACAGAGGATGAAAACTGAGGCACAGAGAGGGCAAAGAGCTTACCCAAAGTCACACAGCCACTAAGTGGCAGGCTTTGGAGTCCCATCCCTGAAATGTGTAACCACTAATCCATGTTGGTCCTTTAAGCCAATCCTATTGAAGTGCTTGTTGAGCATATTCACTCATTACACCTATTCGCCTGGGTAAGACGTGGGACATGATTCCAAATCACATTACAAAGATATAATTCTTTTGCCCATGGATTTTTAGTCTATTGCTTTGCAAACATTTCATCCAGTTCCCTGAACAAGGAGGCCTCTTGATGTTGGAGACTCAGTCCAGAACACTGCCACCCTGGCCCAGGCTCACGTACCCAAGAAACACTCACCAGGAATGGCATCAGAGCTAGGACTCCCATCACTGCTGTTCCGAACAGAATCAAAGACAGCCCAGAGGAATTCTCTAGGGGGCAGGGTCCCAGCCAACTTGGAAGCTGTTTGTTGAAGCATATCAGGAAACTGCATGATTTTAAAGAACATGAAAGAAGAGGGACAAATACTAATTAAAGCATATTAAGATTTAAATCAGAGTTTAAATCATAACACTACTTGCTGCCTCAGTTTTTTTTTATAGCAGCTTCTCACATAAATTTAATCTCTAGTCCAACAAATGTGATCTCTATAAAGAATCCTATAAAAAGATGCTCAACCTTAATAATAATCCAATAAATGCTAAATAACATAAGCATATATCCCTTTTTACCCATCAGATTGCCAAAAATAAGATAAAGGGCTAATAGTTAATGCTGGCCAAGCTGCGTACTCATTTGTCTGTGGGACTGTTAAATGGTGCATCATTACCAGAGCAAGCTGATAATATTCACAAAAACTGTAAGCATGCCTACCCCATTTTGGTTTGGTGCTAATTTTAAATTTTTATATTTATAAATATTTTATATTTATCACTAAAAGGAGATAAAGAAGGGTTATGTCTGGATTCTGGGTAGAGACCAGGGGGGGTTGGGTTCCCATGGAGAAGGTGCCATTTCTCAACTAGAACTAACACACTTTGTCAAGACTTGCGATGTCATTAGGAGACCTGCCCATGAGCCCAGAGAATTCATCTCTGCATACAGAGAGTCACTGTGTCCCACCTGCCCAAAGAGTCAGCACCTCAGTTTATGTAGTTCCTGGTTCTATTCTCATCTTCAGAATTAGAGTCAGGCCCTACGTGGCTGGCCTACTTCTGCCCCTTTGAGCCTTGGTCATGTGACTTTCTCTGGCCATTGGAATGTGGCATAAGTGACAGCATGTCATTTTCTAGCCCTAGCCATAAGGAAAGCTGTACTCATCCATTCCCTTTTTCTGGAATTTCAGTCCTTCACAGTGAGAAGCAGCAGCTCCAGATAGCTTAGGTCCCAGAGACAGCCTTATAGAGCAGGGCTGCCTCAGGGACCCACAAATCAGTTAGCGAGAACTAAAGCTTATTGTTATATACCAGTGAGACTGTGTGGCTTTGTTATGTAGCAAAAAATGACTGATTTGTGCTCTGCATGTCTCTTGGCCTAGACTGTTTAACTCTTAGAGAGTCACTTCAAGCAGAGTTCTATGCCCAAAGCTGATATACAATAAAGACTAGTTTTTGCATTAAATGTGTTTGCATATGTGACTACATACATTGGACATACATGTGCCTGGGCATAGGGCACTGGTGGGTGTAAATGCAGACATGCATGTGAGACATACACAAATGGCAGAGTGGTAGCTAAATGACAGCTCCCAGGCTGCATCCATCTGCCTAGAACACCATGATAAAGGCCCATAGTTCATTTAGCTGCTGCCTCATTTCCTTTTCCTAAAGCTTGTGCATCCTGACATGGAGCTGGAAACATCTGAGCCCTCTGAGACAGAGAAGAAGATTCCAGAATCACAGACTGGCAGCAAACCAAATGGTATGTTACTGACCACACTTTCTCTCCCCTTTAAATTCCTTCACCCTCTTAATATGGGGCACAGAGGTACCTTTGTGGCAATAGGGCTTAATTCATCAGCTGAGAAAAGTACTAGAAAGGGTCCCAAGTCCTTTGTAGTCTCAGCTGTCCAGTTCTGAGGAAGTCTAAAAAGAGATAATAAACAGTAAAATGAAAAGCCATGCTATGGTGGGCATCTGTTGCCCTTTTGCCCCCACATCCTTTCTTTCAGGAACAGACCATCTTCATACTTGGAGAGGCTGTCAATCACACACACTCACTTCCCTGACCAAGAAAATCATGTGATATAGGCTGACCAATCAGAGTTATGCCTGGGAATTTTGATGGAACTACCAAAGAAGCTCTCTTTTTTCTGGTATCTCTCATAGTAGAGAGAATATTGGAAGATATTCCTGTCACCAAGTGGAGAAAATAAAGGCCATACCAAGGAACATAAATCTGAGGGATAGAGGAACATATTCCTGATGACATCATTTGAGACCCCAGATCCTGCCATGCCTGAAATCCACCCCTATAGTCTTCCATTACATTCCATTTCTAAACTCAATAAATTCTCATTTAGTTTGAATTGAATTATTGAGTTTCTGTCATTTACATCACATTGTTTCCTTCCTCTCCTTCCTCAATAGAAGAATAACATACTCGTTTCTTTTAAATTACCATAAGTCTTCTCTTATAGCAAGAAAAAAGCTTGTCTGCAATGAGATATCACTTATCTCCAGTAAGAATGGCCTTTATCAAAAAGTCCCCAAACAATAAATGTTGAGGTAGATGTGGAGAGATAGGAACACTCCTACACTGCTGGTGGGACTGGAAACTAGTTCAACCTCTGTGGAAAGCAATATGGAGATACCTTAAAGCGATACAAGTAGATCTACCATTTGATCCGGCAGTCCCATTACTGGGCATCTACCCAAAAGATCAAATGACACTCTACAAAAAAGACACCTGCACTCGAATATTTATAGCAGCACAATTCACAATTGCAAAGTTGTGGAAACAACCCAAGTGCCCATCAATACATGAGTGGATTAATAAAATGTAGTATATGTATACCATGGAGTACTATTCAGCTTTAAGAAACAATGGTGATATAGCACCTCTTGTATTTTCCTGGATACAGCTGGAACCCATTCTACTAAGTGAAGTATCTCAAGAATGGAAAAACAAGCACCACATGTACTCACCAGCAAATTGGTATTAACATAGCAACACCTAAGTGGACATATAGGAATAACATTTTATCCGGCATTGGGCAGGTGGGAGGGGGAGGAGGGGATGGGTATATACAAACATAATGAGTAACATGTGCAACGTTTGGGGGATGGACACGCTTGAAGCTCTGACTCAAGGGGGGAGAGGGGAATGGGCAATATATGTAACCTTAACATTTGTACCCCCATAATATGCTGAAATTAATTTAAAAAAAAAAAAGAAAAAATCTTTTCTCATGAACCTGGAAAGGTAACAGCACTGACCCAGAATCCACTGTTATTTCTAGACAGACTACAAATATCTACAGCAAAAGTGCACCACACTATCTTTGGAGACATCTCTAGAAAAGGTCTTCCCAATTAGCACTAAGAGCCCCTCTCTAGGATCAAGGCAAATCACCCTGGTCAAATAGCCTCCACTCTTATTTCTTTGATAAAGACATTATACCACTAGACTAGAAGTTCCATGAGAGCGAGAACCATGCCTATCTTAATAACCACTGTACGTTCAGTCTTGGTAGTGAAACAGTTGTCACATACTCAGCTCTATGGGCCAGACACTGTGCTATGTCCTTTACCTGTATTAACTCATTTAATTGTCACAACCACCAAGTGGAGTCTATTACTGTCCCTATTCTACAGATGCAAAAATTAAACTTCAAAAAGATTAAGTAACTTTTCCCAAGCCACACAGACAGTAAGTGATAGAAGGAAATTTTTAAACCAAAGAGTCTGGCTCCTGAATCCATGCTCTTAAACTCTGTATAATAGTACAGTGCCCAGGACACAAGCATTACTCAGAAAACTGTTGTCTAAACACTGACTGATGACTAGGTACTACTCATGGATCTCACCTAACCTCAGAGAACTCTACATTTGAAAGAAAAGTTAGGTTTTTTTCCCCCAAGGAGCTCTCAATCACCCAGAGGTTATAGTGTCATTATTTGCATAATTATTATTATTATTCCATAACAACAATAATAATATTGTGGAACAACAGAAACTCCCATTCATTGCTGGTGGAGATGCAAAAGCATACAGCCACTTTGGAAGACATTTTGGTGGTTTCTTACAAAAGTAAACACACGTTCACTACACAATCCAGCAATCACGTTCTTTGGTATTTACCCAAAGGAGTTGAAAGTTTATTTCTACACAAAAACCTGCATATGGATGTTTAGAGCAGCTTTATCCACAGTTGCCAAAACTTAGAAGCAAGGAAGATGTCCTTCAGTAGGATAAATAAACGGATAAATAAACTGTGGTACATCCATAAATAAATGGATAAATAAACTGTGGTACATCCAGATAATGAAATATTATTCAGCACTAAAAAGAAATGAGCCATCAAGCCAAGAAAAGACATGGGGAAAACTTAAATGTATATTACTAAGTGAAAGAAACCAATATGAAAAAGCTACACACTGTATGATTCCAGCTACACAATATTCTGGAAAAGGCAAAACTATCAGTGGTTTCCAGGGGTTAGCAGTGAAGGAGGAATGAACAGGCAGAGCACAGAGGATTTCCAGGGCAGCGAAACTATCCTCTATGATATTATTATGGTGGACACATGTCATTATACACTTGTCTGAACCCACAGAATCTACAATGCCAAGAGTGAACTGTAATTTAAACTATGAACTTGGGTGATAATGACAATGTAATGACAATAATGTCAAAGTAGGTTCATCAATTGTAATAAATGTACTGCTCTGGTGGCAGATGTTGACAATGGGGAGGTTGCGCATGTATGGGGACAAAGGGATATGGGAAATCTCTCTGTACCTTCCTCTCAATTTTGCCATGAAGCTAAAACTACTCTAAAAAATAGTCTTTAAATAATAATAATAATACCACCACCTTGCATGTGCAAAGTGCTATCTTTTCAAAACTCTTTTCCTTCATATGTCAAGTTGCATTGGTGACAACCATGTATGATCTGCGGGGCAGCTACTATGGACCCCACTTTACAGGGAATCTGAAGCCAAAAGAAGAAAAGTCACATTTCCAGAATAAGTGTAAGTATTTAATCGTATCCTAAGCCAGAGACTCTGTCTGGAGGCCAGGAGGGCCTAGGTGGAGTGTCCCTTCGCCTGGCACATCCCCCACAGTCACGCCCGGCCCCTCCTCACCCGTACTGTTCCAGGAGCCTGCACCTCACCGCAGCCTTCTGCTCGGGGCTGAGGTCTGGGCAGTCTCTGAGTCTGTGCAGGGCAGGGAGCCAAGCCCTGGGGGAAATGCCTCTGTCAATAATGGTTGCTGGCAGGTGACACAGCAGGTTCCCGACGATGTCCACAGTGTACTCATCAGCAATGGAGTCGTCCTGAAACCAACAAGTGGAGCTGATGGGCAGATTCAGCAGAACCCAAGACCATGATCGCTTAAAAACACTTCCCAAATCCATATCTCTTAAAGGTTCTAGAATCTGAATTGCCTACTCTGCTACTAGAGATGTAGCAGGGCCTGACCGTCCCCCAGGGATGCAGCTCTCAGGAATCTCAGAAATCCTGACTTGCCACATGGGGAGCCCTCAATAAATGAGGGCTGCTGTCATACTTGTTATCATTCTGATGATATTCCAGAGTGAAACCACCATTATAATATTAGTACAACAGCAATAAAACCAGCACTTCAAAGTTTGTGACACTAGAAAGCCTTTAAAGGTCTTTCTCAAATTGACAAAAATAGCTGACATGTACTGTGTGCTTACTATGTGCGGGGCACTGTCCTGAGTGTCTACAGGTCTCAATCCTTTCATCTTCAAAGTGACTGTAAGAAGTAAGCACTATTATCCACTTTTTAAAGATAAAGAGACTGCCAACTAGTGGCAAGGCTGGGATTCACATGTGCCTTGCATTAAACAGGACATTGCCCATCGCATGCCCTCAATAACGCTATGAGGGTTGTGCTATTGCACCCACCTTGCAGATGAGGAGACTTAGGTTCAGAGTGGGGAAGTGACTTGCCCAAAGCCACATAACTAGTCACTGGAGGAAGAATGTCTACAACCCAGTCTGTGTACTATGTTCTCTGCAGTCCTCCAGCGTGGCCTCTCTGCTTTAGGCCCTGGGATGGGAGTCTCTAGAACCAACAGCCAAGACTGTCCCAACCAGCAGCTTCACTCAGAGCCAGCTTTGAGACCCACAAGTCAGATTTCCCGCCATCACGACAGGCTCAAGATCCCAGCCAGATCCCCAGGATGCCTGTCTCCAGGATAGCCACAAACACCCAGAGGAGAAGGGACAACCAGGAAGAGTTTCCTTACCAGGCACTGCTGCACTCTCCTGAGGACTGAAGTCTTTTTGTGGGAATCTAAAACCAAGGAGTCCAACCGACTCTTCCCCAGGCTGATCAGAAAGGGCACACACTGGGAGGCCGGGATGGAAGCCAGGTAGCGGGCCCTGGAGAGAGATGGGGAAAACAAGAGGAAGAAAACAGTGGCTGTTCTATATCTGCTTCGAAATCAGGGTGCACATGCCCAAGAGCTCATCACAAGGATATTCTTTAAATGTTTGTTCCCCCCAGTGATGCTGTGGCTCCCTGTGGCATGTAGCAAGCCTCCCACCCATAATGCTTCTCTTCTATGGACAGAAAACAAGCTTCCCATCATGCTTCTCTTCTATGGGCGGGAAACAAATTTCCCATCATTCTCCTCTTCTAATTGGCCGGAAACAAGCTTCCCATGATGCTCTTCTTCTATGCCCCAGCAACTGTCATCAGAAAATGGCATTTCCATAAAAATGTTGACTTGTGGACTGGTTGAGGGGAAATGAGGAAAAAGAAAAGAAAAAGTAGGGAAGAAAGAGGAGAGAGACTAGAATGGAAAGGAAGAAGGATGAGGAAAAGAGAGTGGAAAGAGAAATGACTCTCAATTCTGTCATCTTCAGCCCATAACTCTGCCCCAAGCTCCTGATCATGTATTCTCAACAGGGATAATGTCACCCTCAAGAGGGAGAAACTGGTTCTGGGGGGAGGGATGTGGAAAAAATCTTGGTTATGACAAGGACTTGTGACCCACCAAAGCTCAACCCTTTATTAATTAATATTAATTTATTAATATTTAACAAAATATTTTTCTTTAGTGTATAATTTCCCTCAATAGGGAGAAATTACTAATTTTTCTCCTTAAGGAGGCAGTAATGAAATAAGGGTTGAGAAAAACTGCACAATACCCATGCAGCCTACACATCCTCACCACTTGACTATTCCAAACAAAGACAGATTTAACATCTTCACCAAACATGTTCTTCCTCTTCTGTTATCTCAGAATCCTTTTTCTCTTTCAAAATCCATCATTGCTATCTCCTTAATATTACTGAAATCTGCTCTAGCCTCTCCATTCCCAGTACCGCTGTCTTGTTTATTTCTTCATTCATTCATCCAGCAAATATCTACAGAGCATCTGCTGTATGTCAGGCACAGTTCTAGGCCCCAATACAGTCAGGAATAAGGGGTCCCTACCCTTACAGTGCTTAATTCTAGTAGGGAAAAGAAACACAGAGACCAATGAATAGAACAGGTAATTTCAGCTAATAATAACTGTAAGAAAGAAGATAAAATGGCTCTGTAACAGAGCATGAGAGTGGCCCCTTCTAAGGCAGCACAATTTAGGCCAAGACATGGGAGGGTGGAAGTAGCCAACCATGGCAAGGTCTGGGTTAGTGAAATAATCTTCCACTGTCTCCCTCCTTCCACCCAGGCCCCCTGCATTCCATTCTCTACATGGGCAGTGGCAATGATCTTTCTGAAACATAAATCTGATGGCTGTGCACAGAATATAAGTGAAACATCTCAGGGAGTCACAAAAAGACCTATATGACCTTGTGTTCCCTACTTCTCAGGCCTTCTTCTCTCCCACCTACTAAAGTTTTTTCTTAACCTTGAATATGAAGCTGGAAAAATGTAACCTTGGACCTGCCAGGAGTACAAAGGAGAAAGAACTTGCCCGACAGTGAGACCAATAGAGGAAAGCTTGGACAAGAGACAGATGACTTCATTTGAGCCCCTCGATCTGCGCAGTCGCGCGGGGACGATTTGGTCTGTGCCCCGCCCCCTTCACTGATAGGCGGGCCAAGACCCAGCCCCGCCCAGCTTCACGGTTGATTGGTCCAGGAGCCCAAACTGTTGGAGGCTTTTACGGCTATAGCTGTGGCGTGCCGTAAAGTGAGCCCCTAGATCCAGCCATCCCTGAAATACCCACCTGGACTTCCCATTACCTGAACCAAAAATTCCCTTTTATTGCCTAAGCCCGTTTGAGTTTAAGTTCTGTTGCTTTCAACCAAATATCAGCTTGTATTATATAAATCACTCATCTATTTCCCCCTCCATGAGATTGTAAGTGCTCATAAGAGGAAAATTTAACTATATCTGAGAACTAGCACACAGAAAGTACTCGATAAACATTTTTTTTTTACTGAATGAAGATAATAATAGCGAAAGAAGGTAGAGGGAAAGAAAGAAGGAGAAAAGGAGAGAGACAGTGTCCAGACCATGCTGGACCATAGCAGGAGAAATCACCCAGGTCTGATTCCCCTGGAGCCTGGCCCAGCTCCACGGCAAGGCCAGCCCAGACAGGAGCTGCCTCACTGACACTGATTCGGGCTTGGGTTGCTTTCACTTTGGTTTTTAAATGACAGGAAAAGGAAGAGGGTCTTTCTGAATAACTATGTGAGGCTCAGAATTTACATCCTGGTTCTCAAGGGCTTAACTGTCTAAGACCCTCCTCACTCTGCCTCAAGAAAACCCAGAGGTTTGGCGTGGGTGATTCACACCAATATTACTGCTGAGCCAGAAAGGGGGGCTGATGTTCACTTACGGGAGCACAGCCAAGAGGAAAGGCGGCATAGACGACCTGGAAACTTCCCAGTATTTCCACGCCAAACAATTAACCTGAAAGATTAAGCAGTTCTAGTTCTAGAAATTCAGTCCAACAACAGTAAGAACAAACGCAGATAGTGCTTTCTGCACGCCAGGCACTTTTCTAAGTGCTTTATATATGTTCACTTAAGTAATGGAGCACCCTAAGATGCAGGTACCTCTAACTGTGCCCAGTTTATGGATGAGGGAACTGAGGCAAAACAATATGAACTCAAAAATTTGAGTATGAGAATACTCATCACAACTTTGTCCACAACTGCAAGAAAGTGAGATATAACTTTAATGTCCCTCCATAGGGGATTGGTTAAGTACATTATGGTATATCCATACAATGGAATACTACACAACTACCTTTTTTAATAAGGTAGATTTACATATATTAACATTAAATGATATCTATGCCATTTTATATATATATAAAGTTAAACAGAATAGTGTGTATAGGATGAGCTCATATGTGTTTTTTACATCACATGTAAATGTGTTTTATATATATCAAAAAAAAATCTCAAAGTCGATAGCAAACTTTTCCCTGCAGTTACCTCTAGAATACGGTTGCTCAATCTCCACACTCCAGACACTTTGGACCAGATAACTCTTTGTTGTGGGGGGATGTCTTGTGCATTGTAGGATGTTGAGCAGCATCTCTGGCCTCTACTTACTAGATGCTCATAGTGCCCCCCCCAGTTGTGACAACCAAAAATGTCACTAGTCATGGTCAAAAGTCCCAAGGAGGCAAAATGGTACCCTGCTGAGAACCACTGCTCCAGAGAAAAATTGGGGAAATTTTACTTTCTCTGTTTTTTTTTATAACAACAATGTATTTTCAGTAAAAATGTAAACAATAAAGGCAAATTGCCTAACTAACTGGTATTTGAAGGTTCTGAGAACTAGAAGTGTAGGGAATTACCTATGTCGGGGCAACTCTCACTGCTCAGACATGTAGTTCTTCCTTAAAGTGGGTCTGACCTCCATCCATTTGCTCAGTTATTGGCTTCCCCTCCTGGGCAAGACTCTTAATATGGTTCAATGGTTCTCTCCAAGGAACTGATTAGAAATGCAAATCTCAGGCCTCATCCCTCTCCTACCAGATGAAAAGCTCTGGAATTGAAGCCCCCAATCTGTGTGTTAACAGCCTTCCAGACAACGCTGATGTGGATGCAAGCTCAAGTTTGAGAACCACTAACAGAATAAATAATCCAAGGGAATGACAGGGCTTCCTTAAAACTTTGCATATTCCTACAATGATCTCAAAGGACTATACACCAAGCACTATGCTTCCTCGTGCTCAGGGAGAGAATCCACTCTTTGGAAACTTTTCATCCAGGTCTGAAACACAAGGCCAGAGGTGAGAAGGTGCCTTGTCTATCCGTTTGTTCACCTCCTCAGGACTCTGTGTGCCAGTGGTTCACACTCAAAGCTCAAACTCTTTGAGGCCCATTTTTACTAGTTCAGATACTGTGAAAAATCAGTTACTGCTTCTAGCCTCCTTGAAGGGTTAAACAGCCTCCATAACCTTTTGGAAAATGAAGTTTTAAATGTAAAATAAAATTCTCTTAGAGTCTTTTTCCCATCCACGGCTACCCTGGAAACGGTAGGAATGTTAGATGAAGGATTACCTTCAGTCCCAGCAGAACATAATTATGAACATGCAAAATGGCACACCTTAAAAATATACTTTTTAAGGTTCAAATTTGAGTATGGGACAACCAATCTGTTGAAACTTTGGCTGTATAGATGTGGGTATTTGGAGCTTTTTGAAAAGAAACTGGAGAAAACCTGGCTCAATAATTGGCCCTAAGTCATCCTTGCATCTGAGTAATTCTGGCATAAGTATCTTTGGGTGCCACAGCCAATCCAGGCCCAGGGGCTGGGGTAGGAAGAGAGTTAGACGCAGGAACATGCTTTGACGGTACCTGATACGGTGAAAGCAGGAAGAGATTGTTCTCAAAATACCGGAAATGAGCCAGAAAGGAGTCAGCACTCATGGCATCAATGTGCGAGCACGTCACGCCTTTGACCAGCTGCCCAGCACTAGAAAACAAAACAACAGACTCGGGAGAGAAAGGGGTGGGGAGGAGAGAAAAAAGAAAGAGCAAGAGAAGGCAGATGTGACCTGACACAGGCTACAGCCACAACTGTCCAATTCTCCCTCCTGAGCAATTAGGCTCGTCTAGCAAAAGGCTCCAAAGAGCCTGGTGGGCTCCCAGGCGGAGTTACGTTCTCCTACCTCAGGAGCTCCCCGGGCCTCCCAGTGGTCTTTAACAGAAGCTCATACAGGAACAGGGCCTGAGGGAAGAGAAGGATTGGCACTCACTGGGTGCCCAGCGCCGGGAGGCCCTGCATGGAAGGCACTGTGACTCCATTTTACAGATGCAGAAGTGGAGGCTCGACAGCCAAGTTACTTACTCAGGACCACACAATTGCTAAATACCACAGCCAGGATTTGAACCAGTGTCAGAGTAATTCCAAAGCCCTGGCTCTTGCCCTCCGTATACTCCAAGAGGCAAATGAAGAGCAAAGCCATAGACAGCCGGGCTGGAGTTTCTGCACTTTGTGAAGCCCTCTGACTGGTTGAGGACTCTCTGTGACCCCTATTTAAATGCCCACCTGCTAGTTTCTGAACACCAGGCACCCCAGAAAGGGAGTGGAAGGGAGGGATGAATAGGCCAGGAAGGGCTGAAAGGCACCATCAAAAAAGACCTGCGGCTGGCAGCCCGCACTCCCCCCGAGCCCTCCCGGATGAGCACTCTGGGAGAACGGTGCATCGTAGGCAAGGGAGTCATTTGTTTTAAGGAGCGTAACTTTACAGAATCCCTAACTTGCAGATGCAATCAAGTACTACATTTATCTATTTTATAGACTCTGAAACTTTGAACATAATTCCCCAAACAGAATAAATTATGAGCTAGCGTCGGACATGGCAGTTGAGAGCCTGGAAGCAGCAAAAAAAAAACCCAGGTGGAAGGAGGAGCAGTGGGGAGGACGTTCTGGATGCTGCGTGTGGCCCCAGAGATTTCTCTGGGCACACGGTCAAGATCTGGGACCCTCCAGTGTCTTCCCCATCTCAGAAAATGGCAATTCTATCAACTCAGTTGCTGAGACGAAAGTATCTTGAAGTCATCGGTGGCAGGATGTCTTTTCCAAAATAAAATGATCACCTCCATCACTAAATTTGGCAGTGGTTCATGACACAGCAACTGACCACGGGAACATCATCCAACCTCAAGAGACACCCTGAGCAGAGAGGGATTTCCGTCCGATTTGCTCAGTTCTGCATTCTCAGCTCTGTAGGCAGCGGCTGGCACGTGGTTGCTAAGGCGCTCGACAAACATTTGCTGAGTGGATCTAATGAAGGCCGATGAATGAGAAGGAAGCAAGGACAGTTCTGAGGCAGTGCATCCTTCAACAGCACCATCCTCTCCAAGTGGCCTCAGCACTGGCGGCTTTTAATAATACACATCGTAACCGCTAATATTTCCAGCACACTGCCCAAGTGGCATATCCCACTGATCCTCATGAGAAGTTATCCCCATTTTGCACATGAGCAAACTGAGGCCAGGTAAAGAGCAATAGCTTCTCCAATGGGAGCCAGAATTCACTCTCAGCTCTTGTCTAACTTCTTCACACTATGCTATTCTGCCTTCTGGGTTTCATCACACAGAAATAAATTTCTTCTACCAAATTAATCTTAAAACAGACCATTCCCACAAGACAGATAGTCAGAAATCCAAGATCGATCTGTGAGCCTCATGGGCATACCTGGCTCCTCCGAAGCTCCTTGTCCTTCAGGACTGTGGGGTTGAATCCAGGTTCCCTCCGTAAATCAAAAAGAGACACTTCTTTAAAGAAAGCCCCTGGTATCTCCACAATGCCCGAGGCAGGATCTCCTCCTTCGATCATCTGCCAAAAGTGAGAAGAAATATAATGATCACCTTGTAAAAGGTGCGTTGAGCTCTGGGTGAAGAGCCAGGCACTGCTTCTCGGGTAATAAAACACATCAGACCCACCCAGCAGCCTAGGAAATAGAGACTATCGCTCGCCCCATTTTGCAGGTGAGAAAACTGAGACTTGAAGGATGATTGGTTGAAAGTCATTAAGTGAGATTCAAGCCTGAGTCTGTCTTATTCAAAAACCCACACTATTTTAACACCATGGGCTACTGCTATCTGCACAGGTGGGTGCTTTAGGCCAAACCCCTTAGGTTTGGTTTCTTAACAGATTTTGCAATTGGACAGAGCAGGCCTGAGAGAGCAAGACGTCCAAGAGCCCCACCAAGCGAAAAAGGAACACAGGCACGACTTCGGACCGTGGAAAGGGCTTGCGGGAGTACTCTGAGAACTTCAGCATTCAATTTTAGATTTGAAAAACAAACTTTTAAAACATTATCAGATTAAGAAACCTGATCTAAGAAAAGTCTTCCAGATTGGACTAGCAGGGAGAGCAACAGGGAAGAATCTTGGCATTAGCAGAGGGGCCTGCCTGGGAAGGAGGGAAGCTGAGGCAGCAGGAGGAGGCAGAACAACCCCACGCACCAGTGGCCGAGGTAATCCCAGCCCTGAATCAACGGCCCACAGTCACAGCCCACCCACATAACCCCCAAGCCACATCCCCTGTGAGCCACGTGCCTGAGGACAAGACATCTTCCTCTTACCTTGCTAAGGACACCTTGCTGCTGGGCAGGTGACAGATCAGACACATGCTGAGCGACGGTGCTTCTCAGGGCCTGCGGGAGGTCCCTGCAGTCCATGCTGCGGAAGGCCTGGGTGCTGACCCCGCCCAGCAAGGCGCCCATCTGGCTGGCGTTGTAGAAGGACAGCACCTGGGAGGGGGCAGCCGCGCCGTGAGGCTCTGCTCCGGCCTTTCGCCTCTCAGACAGGCACCGAGCCTGCTATGGGCGACACCTTAGGGGCGAGACAGGTGCTGCCTCCACAGACCTCCCTTCCTTCTATCAGGAAAGAGGGTCAAATTTCAAACCACGAGCGAGATTCATGGTATATCCACTGCACCATCCAAGGCCATAGTACAAATATCAAAAACCAGTGCCCCATGAAACAGTTGCCCAGTACTGGACTTTTTTGTGTTTAACTGAAACTAGTGGACAACATTTAAAAATTGTTTTTAATTTTTCATTTTTTTATAGAGAGAGCCAGTCTCACTTTGTCACCCAGGAGACAAACAGCAGTGATGTGATCATCGCTCACTATAACCTCTCACATCTGGGCTCAAGTGATCCTCCCACCTCAGCCTCCCAAGTAGCTAGGACTACAGGCATGCGCCACCACACCTGGCTAATATTTTTTTTTTTTTTTTTTTTTGGAGACAGGGTCTCACTATGTTGCTCAGGCTAGTCTCGAACTCCTGGGCTCAAGCAATTCTCCCACCTCTGCCTTGCGAAGTGTTTAGATTACAAGCGTGAGCTACCGCATCTGGCCTGTTTTTAATTTTTAAGCTAAATTGTTTCATGGGAAGAACTCCCATAAAAATCCAGATTTGAGTTTCTGGGGTTTTGTTGTTGTTGTTGTTTTAATCTGAACATCAGGAAATCTTGGACCCAAATTTCCATCTGGCAAAATTAGCAGGAACTAAGCAGAAACCACCTCGTTAAGTGGGCCAGGGGTTTTTCCCTCTGGCCACTGCCCATCTTGCAGAGCCTTAAGAAAAGGAAGCTCACTTTTCTCATTTATGTCACCTAGCATAGCAAAGCCCCACACTCATCTACTTCCAGGTAGAAGCTTTAAGTTGAAATAAAGAAATCTTTCAGGATGCAAGTCTGATATTTTGTGGCAAATATTATTGGAGCTGGCTTTCCTATCAAAAATTATTTTGGGTTTTTTTCCCCCCTCCTTTGTAGTGAAGATGCTAGATGGTTTTCCATACGATTAGGGATGGGTTCCATGAAAAGAGAGGTGAGCGGTTTCCTTCAGTTATTCTCTGTAGAATGGATAGTCTCTTCTTGTCCCCAAAGAAGACAAGAACTTTTGAGTGCCTGGCTTCTCGGTAAAAGTGGCCCCGCCCCTCAGGAGGAGCTGGAGGTCAGAGAAGGGTCAACCACTTTGTTCAGGGCTGGAGGGGAACAAACAGTCTCTCTCAGCTCCCTAAAATCGGATTCACAGAGAACTGTCATGGTAGACCCATGGGCCCCCAGGCAAGCTCCAGAAATGGGGAAGGTCTTCAAGCCTTCAAAATAAAGTCACATGAGGCTAGAGGGGACATGATGAATGGGCTAGCCTTGTTCTTGCGTCAGAAAGTGAGAATGAGTGGGCGATGGTTCTAGAGCCATGATGGGGGTGGTGAGCATCGGGGTTCAGCAAGCAGGCTCCGAAGCCAGATGCCCTGGCCTCAATCCCAGCTGCGCCCCCTTGGTGTGGCCTTGACAATTCCCTTATACGCTCTGTACCCCACACGAATGAACTGGAAGATGATGATTATAGCACTATTAACCTCACAAGGTTGTTAGAAAGAGTAAATGATTAACTCTCTTAGAACAGAAGGCACCAAGTGCTTAATATATGTTATTATTGTTATATTGGAATCCGTCCCAATCCAATCCTCATGAGCCAGTTTGCATCCTGGGACGTGTCTGTGAGTGTGAACTGAAAGAGAAGGACACCAAATGCTTAGGACTCAAGTCTGGAGCCCTTTGAACAGAACCCAGCACAGGGAAACTAATTCCCCCTGAGAGAAGGTCCATTTGCTACTCCAGGAGCAGCTAGAGCATGGACTACGGCTGCTGTCCCCTCCAAATAGGACTTTCTGCCCCGACAGTTCCCTCTCTGTAGTCCAAGAGTGGGATAAAACAGCATCATCCCTGATCCCACGATGAGGGATGTGCTAGCAGCTCAACCACAAGCAAGAAAATCCTGGGATGGGCCCCACCCATCAGTCCACAATTCAGTGCTAGCTAACATTCCTAGTGAGCTTGACCTCTGTTATGTCACCTAATGTCCCAGCTTCTTTATGTGCACCAACTCACATAATCTTTGCAGCAACACATTTAACACTATGGGGTAAAGGCTATCATTGTCCCCATTTTACAAATAGCAAAACTGAGGCAAAGTGATGTCAATCAAATTGCCCAGTGTCACGCAGCTAGTAAATAGCAGAGTGAGGATTTGAAGCTAGGTTATCCCCCTCAGCACCATCTTCTTACTAGGTGGTTGTCCCTGCTGCGTGTGTACAACTGGCTGTCATGGACTGAACTAGCCGGAGTGTGATGGTATTGGGAGGTAGGGCCTTTAAAAGGTCACTAGGGTTAGATGAGGTCATGAGATAATTAGGGTTAGGTGGGGCCCTGATCCAATGGGATTAGTGCCCTTATAAGAAGAGACACCAGAGAACTTGTTCTCTCAGAGGTCATGTGAGCACACAGTGAGATGGTAGCCGCCTGCAAACCAGGAGAAGAGGCCTCAGAATGAAACCTACCTTGCCAGCACCTTGACCTTGGACTTTCCAGCCTCCAGAACTGTGCAAAAGAAATGTCTGAAGTTTAAGGCACCCCACCCATCGCATTTTGTTATGGCAGGCTGGGCAAACTAATACGCCCTTGAGCCTCAGGCCACTAAGGAAGAGTTAAAAGCCCCAACTGACCTTCTCATGGGCCAAGTATTTGGCAGACAAGATGATGACCTGACTCTTGGCCCAACCTGAGACCTGGTTGAGGGTGGAGATGGCACCATGCACAGCCTCCGGGGAGAGGGATTCCAGCTGACTGTAGGTCAAACCCACAACCGCATCCGACAAAGAGCCCAGGGTCTCATTGAGGGTCTGGTTCTCCGTGGCAATGTCCAGAAGGTTGGCTTTGAGCTGGAGGGAGAGCAAACTGGAATGGGCGTCGATAGAAAGCAGGGCAGTGGCTCCATCTGACTACATCCTGGAGGGTCAGGATTGCACAGCTCCCCGACCCTGCCCCATCAAAGCCTCTGGCCCAGGGGTGAGGAAGGTAAGGGGCTCCTGCCATGCCCAGATGGTGAGTCACCTCACAGAGGACACTTCTGCCAGCCTTGGTTTTCACGTGCCACAAATTCGCCATGTGCTGCATTTAAATATTAACTTGTTATTAAATCAACCTTAAAGCATGGCAGAAGGAAATCTCATTCCCTTGTAACTCCACCACACTCCAGTAGCATCTATATTCTTCTGGTGACCTTGAACTTTATTTCTGTATATATGACTGTTTTTCTTTCGTGGAATATCCAGGAGCTTTTTCATGACAATTTATAATCTGTGTAAAAATAATTCTCAACAGTACAGGAAAGTAAAAGTCCCCTGAAAATCCTATCTCATAAAAATAACCGTGATTAGCAATTGGGTGTATATTTATGCTTCCAAGGCTTCTTATGTCTTTTTTTAAATATAGAGGCAGTATGTAGTTTGCACAGAGTTGTAATGTGAACAGAAGCAGTTTTCTTTTCTACATTTTTCACTTAAAATTATTTCTTGCACATGTTTGCACATTTCTATGATCATTTTAATAATCATTTTATGACAATATGCCTTCCTAGTTATAGTCAGGTGTGTTGTTCAACTGCTTCTGGTGAGGAAGGTGATAAACTTTTACCTACTGGAACATGATCTATGTCCCAAAAAATTAGAACGGTTCACGTTTTAACACCTGGCTTTGTATGAATCGTATATTCATTTCAGGCAGGTGCACAGAATGGCTCCAGGCAATATTGAAATAGCCACTAGGGGGCAGAAGAGCAAAATAGAAGAAACAGCTGTCCCAGCACCTGCATTCTCTAAATTCAGCAGTGCCCCTTCCCTAGAGTTTAGTTTCCACATCTGTGAAAGGAAGCGCTGGACTAGAGTGGTGCTTCTTAAAATATAGAGTTTGACCAGCAGCAGCAACATCACCCGGGAACTTGTTAGAAATGCAAATACTCAGGCCCCACCCAGACCTCCTGAATCACCTTGCATGGGGCCTGCAATCTGGATTTTAACAATGACCCCGATGCACCCTCCAGTTTGAGATCTGCTGAGCTATATGATCCAAAGGGCTCCCTCATCTCTAATTTCATCTGACTTTCTTTTTGGCTCCCACAGCTACCCCTGTGGCCATAAAATACATTATTTTCTTGTGTTTGTCTGCTTGCTTAGAAGTGATTCTTTTCCTTGAAAACAAAAATATGCATTGACCAAGAGAGATGACCATAATGTCAAATGTCGAATGTGACTGGGGACCTTATGGTTATGCGTGGGAAACTGCTGTGCAATTATCGATGGCTTTATCAAAATTGTCTTTGACATTGTTATCACATCATCTTTTCAAATTAAAAAAAATGTTTTTGAAAAAGACCATAAGAAGTGAAGAGAAGGGCAGCAGAATGGAAACTTGAACAGAAGAAAGAAGAGAGAAGAAATGGAGGGGAAGGAATGTGAGAAACAGTCTGCGTTTGCTAATTTGTCCGAAGTCTGGTCTAAGAACTCATAATGACCCTCTGAGCCAGGGTTCTCAGTCCTGGTTGTGTTGGAATCACCTGAGAAGCTTTAAAAGCATGCCCTACCCAGGCCATACCCCAGGTGGCACCTGGCAGGGCTGTCACTAGTGGAGAGCCAGGTTTGAGAACACTGGCCATGCCCAGCATGTTCCCCAGAGCAGCCACTTCTGCACCACCTAGAAGCCTTTTAGAAGTGTCCTCTCCGGGGCCCCACCCCAGCCAGACCTCCCAAATCAGAATCCGCCTTTCAGATCCCCAGGTAATCCGGATGCCCTTTTATTTTTAAGACAAAGTCTCACTCTGTCGCCTCTGCTAAAGTGCAGTGGCATTATCATAGCTCACAACAACTTCAAACTCCTGGGCTCAAGCGATCCTCCCACCTCAGCCTCCCGAGTAGGTAGGGGGGACTCCAAGCACAGGCCACTACACCATGCTAATTTCTCTATTTTTTGTAGAGATAAGATCTCACACTTGCTGGGGCTGCTCTTGAACTCCTAAGCTCAAGCGATCCTCCCACCTCAGGTGTGAGCCACCGCGCCCAGCTGATATGCACATTTAAGTTTGAGACAGCTGCTCTGATTGAATTTTAACCTCTCCAGGATTTTTTTTCCTCTGTTGTTTTTGTCTTCTCTTCCCATGTTACACTCATCCTAATATTTCAGACACGGTCTTCTGTGGCTGGACTTAGATCCTGATTAACGCTACGTGTTTTAGCTCCAAGGCCAGGCAAGGCTGTTCTCCCCCCATTTCTCTGGCTAGGGAAACTGAGGCAGAGGTCCCAGGCCTAGCACCCCTTCTGCACCTTCTGAACGCCAGCCTGGAAGCCCCTCAGCTGGCTGCATTTGATCATCTGGTGAAGCAGGACTTGAGCCACTGCAGCATCCAGCAGCTCCAGGTCATCGTAGAAACAAACCAGCAGCCCCAACCTGTGTGAGAAGAGAAGGGATTGTGGTGGGGGCTCAGAGCTGGGGGCCACACCACATTCCCCTCAGTTCAAACCAACAGAGTCATGAGCACACCAGCTGCCATGTTTCAGGTCTGGTGCTGGGTTTGCCTGGATTATCCCATCACAACAACCCTACAAGGCAGGTGTGCTCCTTAGCCCCATTTCACAGATGAGCAAACTGAGGCTCAAAGAGATCAAGTGACTTGTTCAAGGCAAGTAGTGGAGCTGGGACTTAAATCTACATCCATCCAACTATGCCATCTCTTCTCCTGGGGCAGATAAAGGGCATAAGGAAAGAATGATGCTCTTAGCCACAGAAAATTCCCCATCTTCTACATGGAGATAAGGGGTTTCTCCACCCTGGAGGTTCTCTGAGGCAGAAGTCTATTTCCAGGATGCCTTCCTACCTACCCACCCAGATGATGCAAATGTCTCAGAAGAAAGAGTTAAAAAACAAAAGATGAGGCAGAACAGTGTAGGGGCAAAGGTGAGATTTGAATTCTGCTATAATAACAGAGAGCAATATATCTAGTGGTTAAGAGGATAGATTCAGACTGCCTGGAATTTCATTCTCAAGTCTGTGAGATGTTTAACCTCCAGAAAGTTACTTAACTTCTCTGCAAGGTTGCTGCACACAGTTGTGCAGTGCACACCCTGTACTACTGTACTATACAGAGACAGGGTAGCCCTGCCTCTCTGAGCCTTTAATAAACAGTAGATTTGCTTTGTTCATCGTAGCACATCATAATAAATATGATGAATGAAGGAATGAGGATGACTGTGAAAGTTAAAAGAGAAGGGGCATACGAACTGATTAGCATACTTCTTGGTGGAGACTAAGCACACATTCATTAACGAGTACTCTTACAGAGTTAGTATGAAGACTGTTCAACTTAGCATGGCTGGACCGCCTGTTTGACCACGGTCAGCCTGGCTCCACCCTCTCAGAAAGATATGGACATATTCAGACATGCCCACAGGAAAGCAGCCAGGCCCAGGAAAAGGATTTGAAAATGTGTCTTAGAAAAAGAGAGCTGCTTAACTGAGGAAAGAAGACCAGGGGAAGTGATAGCCAAGATACAGAATCAGCCTAAGCGTCCATCAACAGATGAATGGACTTTTTAAAATAGGGTATAGATACACAACGAAATACTCTTCAGCCTTGAAAAAGAAGGAAATCCTGTCATATGTGACAACGTGGATGAACCTGGAGGATATTATACTCAGTAAACTAAGTCAGGCACAGAAACAAACACTGCATGATCTCACCGGTACTAGGAATCTAAAAACATCAAACTCATAGAAGCAGAGAACAGAATGGCGGTTACAAGGGGCTGGGGGCGGGAAGGGAGTTGAAGAGATGTTGGTCAAAGGATACAAAGTTTCAGTTAAATAGGAGGAAGAAGTTCTGAAGATCTATTGTAAGCCATGGTGACTGTAGTTCATAACAATGTTTGGTATAGTTGAACATTGCTAAGAGAGTAGATTTTAAGTGTTCTCACCGCACACAAAAAGCTATGTGGGGTAATGCCGACGTTTAACTACCTTGATTTAGCCATTCCACAATATATACACACATATACATATGTATATATATCTACACATCATGTTGCATACCATAAATATAATTTTTTGAAAAAATTTTTTTGAAAAAATCAATTATAAAAGAAAAAAGAATAATATTTCTTGAGCAGTGATTCTGTGTCAGCTGTACTTAATCCTCACAAGGACATGAATGAGGCAGGCAGATTTTCCTCTCTCGCTTTACAGACGGACAAACAGAGAAGCACAGAAAGGTGATGCAAAATGGCTAAGATCACACAACCTGTGAGCAGCAGAGCCAGGATTAAACCCAAGAAGCCTGGCTCTGGGTACCATGTTCTTAACCAGAAGGAATTTTTTTTTTTTTTTTTTGTAACCACAGAAAAATGGGAGCCATGCTAATGAGTGAAAATTACTAGGGATGGGGGAAGAAAGTGTGATAGTTGTCTATGACTATGTTCTCTAAATGTGGCTCATTTGAAAAAACTTCAGGTAACGTGGCAATGAGAACCACGTGGCAATAAGGCCCTAAGAGATGGAGAGAAGAGGCTAGAACAGTGCTCACCCGCCTCTCCCTGACACTCAACCCTGCCAGACACCCTGGGGTTTGGGAGTGGGTGGTTACATTGCAATCGCTAAATTCTAGAGCTGATCCCATCCAGGGCTCCCCGCTGAGAGTCTGATAACAAGGGGTTCTCAAATATGGGGACCCCCTCCAAGCTATTTCCAACACTTGACCCAACCTAATAGAAATTACACATTCACATTGGAACAGAGCTGAGACCCAAGCATAAAGAGGTTCATAAGGTTGTCTCTGCCTTGTAGATTGTACTCCTTATCCTTATTTAAAATGTTCCATTTCCATGCTCAGAGCTGGAATTAGCTCCTGATAAGCTCGCATAAAATGCCTGGCACATGGGAGATGCTCAGAAAGCATTTGTCCCCTTGCCTGCTTGCTTCATAACTCCTTCAAAAGTGGGGAACTGCCTCCTTGGGGCACAGCTCCCCTCACATGCACACAGAGAGGTGGGATACTCCGAGATGGAGCGGCCGCCTCCCTTCCCTCTTGTGCTGCTCAGAGAATTCTGCTGCTCAGCCCCATGGCATCTTGGGAAAGAGCCACTCGCCTGTGGATGGTGGAGGTGTTCCTCATGCTAAAGTTGGAGGAGCTGATCCTCTCCAGAAACGCCTGGGCCAGTTCAGGGCTGATGTCATAGACCGTGTCCAGCTGCTTGGTGGCGTTGTCGTAGCTGATAAACAGCCCAATCTGGTGGACAAGGATGGGAGGATCAACGAGAGTGGACGTGGCGGGCTGTGGCCCCACCCCGGTGGTCTACGCTGCTCTTCCTCCCAGACGCTGGGATCCGCCACCTGGTTTCACCATTGATCTCTTGCTGCTCTGTAACCCCTGCTCTGGTTTCCTCTTCAACCCAACTGTTATTTAAGAAAGGTTACTTTTTAATATCCAAGCAGTTGGACTCTTTTTTTTAAAAAAAAAAAAAAAAAGCTAATTCTTACACATTTATTTCTAGATTTGTTATATTGAGGCCAGAGAATGTGGTCCATCAATTTTCTGCTTTGAAGAATCAGAATTTGTTTTAATAGATGAATGAGTTTATAAGTGGCCCCTGGGTGATGGAAAAGAGTTATGTGTTCTCTTTGTAATATACAAAATTTGGCATATAGATATTCAGCGTTATTAAATATACCATTCAGATTCTATATATTCTTGTTCCCTTTTGCCTACATGTCCAATGGTGTCGCATTGAAGTCTACTACTGTAGGCCTCATATCCATTTGTCCTTATGTTTCTAACAGATTGTGCAGTGTATATTTTGATGTGCTGTTATTCTGTGCATAAAATGGTTCATAGGTTGTCTCTCCCTTGTGGATTGTACCCTTTAATCCATATAAACTTCCTTCTTACTGTTGGTACTCCTGCCTTCCTCTCCCTTCTCTACATTTTTTGATAATGAAAAGTTGCCAATGGGTGTTTGATTTTAGAAATCCTCCCTAGGGGCCCAGCTTTCTAAGAATTTAACCTATATTTGCTTCCCGAACATCACTTAATGCTTGGAGAATAGGGAAGGGGGTGGTTATTCCTAAGAATGAGGGTTATAAAAATTGGAAGAAGTTTAAAATGCTCCCAGCCTTCTAGGTAAAAGAGATGACTCTCATTCTACCTCTGGTATCATAACAACCAGACATTGTTGGGTCAATTGGTGCTTGAACCAGCCAGTTATTTGATGCAAACACTTCTCTCACTGGCCAGGATAAACTCAGGACACATATGATTAAAATTAAAAAAAAAAAAATTGGAGGCAAGCTCCAAACTATTTATGAATGCCTCCATGATGGCAGCATTCTTTGGAGACTGCATTCCAGAATCATGATGCCTAAGAGAATTTAGTGTCATTGGGTCAACATCATTAGAAGAAAAGAGACAGGTTGACTAGAGAGTTCAGTCACCTTAGAACCTATATGTTTTGCCACTGTAAACTCCAGAGTTAAAATCCAATCATTGCTCAGACTGAAATAGCTATGAATAGAAGGAGCTATAAATAGCAGTAGCTGTTAATCCATGTTGCTTTTGCTTCCGAGGACCAGAAAGTCTATAGCTATTGTCCTTGGCCTTTCTTGAGCACAAAAATACCCTTAAATGATTTTGGGTTTATAACCGACATTCCCTTTTATGTTATGTTTGTTCACATCAGCGCTGTCTTAGTTGTCCACAACTCTTTCTCTCTTCTTAGTTCTTCTGTACTTAAAACACAGTCCTACGACTGACCACTCGTTCCCTTATTCAAAGATTTTTCTTTGGAGGCTCAAGATATACGGGGCTGAGGCAGATGTACAATTTCCAGGGTACCTTGACCGGCTGGTGGAATATTAGAGATTTAGAGGATACCTTACCCCAAGTGTATTAGTAATGAGGACATATAAATGTACTTTTCCAACTTACTTCTACAGGACTAATTTTCATAATTTCTTCAAATGGTAGGTGAACCATATATCTGCCCAAAATCCATAACTTTTCTGCACTGACCCATGAAACACAGTCATCTACAAGAAAAATAAGCAAATGAATAAATAAATAAGTAAAAGCCTTCTCACTAGGAATGTGATAATCAACAGCATCTTTGATGCCAGGGCCTCCTTCTTACAGTCATTAATTCATTAATTCATTCAACAACCATTTATTAAGCGCCTACCTGTGCGACGCTATGCTACACACACAATGTGATCACACGTGCCCCCTACCTGAGACTTTGTTATCAACAGTGTGGTCCCTGGGATCAGCAGCATCAGCCCCTTCCTGGGAACTTGTTAAAAATGAAGGTTATGTTTTAACACTTAAAAACACAAAATATAGTTTTCTTTTTAGTTCCATTAGTTATTAAATAATCCAGCAACTTGAAATATGTTTGACTCTCTTTTAATGTTACCACTAATAATGATTCTCAACCTCATTAATTATCACCATGTTACTATATTTGAACCAAATCACAGCATTTGTACCTCCCCGAATGTTCTCCAAATCTTCACTTGTATTGCCCTTTCTCACCACCGTTCCTCAACCCTCCTGTGTCCAAATCCTGCCTTCAAGATCAAGCTCAAATTTTCCTCTTCCTTAAAGCCCTCTCTTACCTCCTTAGCCAGAAGTGCTTTCTTCCTCTTCTAAATGCCCAAAAGACTCTCTCTGTCACCCTGTTCTGGCATTTGAAATTCCCCATCAGTGAGGTGTCAGTAGAACTTTAAAGACAGTCATGTCCAGGATCCATGTTCAAGTTTCCCTGAGCTGGAGCTAGCCGCCATTGCCCCCAGTTCTTTAGTAAAAGACATGTACATGCAACAAATGCCACACCGTGTTGGTGGCATTCAGGGAAATGAGAGAAGGAGGAAAGGGGCCCAGGGAACCAGTCACCAAGAGCTGTTGCAGAAGCCGTGGGCAATGACCAAAGCCCCAGCAAGATGGCGAAGTCAGCTTGTGCATGGGCTGACTCACAAGAACATACAGGGTCCCTCCTCCAGCCCGGGAATCAGAAATGTTGGGGTGAGCACAGGCTCACCTGTGATCCCCTCGATAGGGACTCCGGACATCTGCCTTGGCTATTAGAGGAAAGAGTGGCCCCAGAGGGCTAAATAATTTTGAAAGTAGAATTACAAAATTCACCAAGAACCAAGCTAAGTTGTTCATTTTTTAACTAATTATTAAGCATGAACTGTATTTCTAAAGACCCATGATCCCCAAGCTTGAGATATTTTTAACAGCCAAAGTATTTCCAGTTATCTCAAAGGTCTTCATGAAAAAAAATTAAGGTCCAAATAGAATTAATTTGAATTCATTATAGTTTAATGATGAAACTTACCATGTAGAAATTTTAGAAGGAAAGTCTGTGCCTAAGTAAACTCTAGCAATAAAGACTTAGGGAAGTCTAGAGGTTGAGTGACTCTCTCATGGCTACACAGCGTGAGGCTCATATTCGTGAAGGCCAGGCAGAGGGAATTCTGCGATGCATTGAAGACATTGATTATTACGTTATTTAACGTTCATTATACACCAATCTGGGAGCATAATTCTAGGAAAAGGATTGATTGGCGTTCCCTATACTCCAATCCCACCAGCTTTCTTTATGTCTTCCCTACACGAGCTCGTTCCCACCTCAAGGCATTTATATTCCCTGGTCCCTCTCCCTGGAATGAATGCACTTCCTCCAGCACTGCATGTGACTGATGCCATCTTCTCATTTTGGTCCTAATTCAAATGTCACCCACTCAACAGGTCATCCCTGATTCCTTAGTCCAGGGGTTGGCAAACCATAGCCCATGGGCCAAACCCAGCCCACCACCTATTTTTATACAGCTTGTGAAACAAGAGTGGTTTTTACATTTTTAAACAGTTGAAAGGGATATCAAAAGAAGAATAATATTTAGTGACGTGAAAATTACATGCATTTCAAATTTCAGCATCCATCAATAAAGTTTTATTGGGATACACTCACAATCATTCATCTATTGTCTATGGGAGTTTTCAAGCTGCAACATTGAGGCTGAAAACATTTGCAAAGCCCTCTTCTGGCCTAAAGTATTTGTAATAACCCTTTCTATGGCATTTATTATTTGTATTTTCTTCATAGCAGCTACCAGTAACTAAATTCTCTCTCTAGGTCTCTTTTATTTGCTTACTTCTTTAAAATTTTCGGCACCTACCCTCTACAAGAAAACAAGAGGGCCACTAGAGCAGAAACTTTGTCTTGTTTTGTCTGTATCCTAAGCTACTGACACATAGTAGGCTTTCAAAACTGTTTAAAAGTTTACACTGTTTCCATTACTGGCATTAAATATTTAACAAGTTGAAGCTGTTAGAGAAATTGTTTTCATTGATAATCTATATAGCCATTCTTTTCTGTCTTTTTTTTTCAGTTAAGGTAATGTACACATAACATAAAATTTACCATCTTAACCACATTTATTTATTTATTTATTTATTTATTTATTTATTTATTTAGAGACAGAGTCTCACGCTGTTGCCCAGGCTAGAGTGCCATGGCATCAGCCTAGCTCACAGCAACCTCAAACTCCTGGACTCAGGTGATCCTCCTGCCTCAGCCTCCCAGGTAGCTGGGACTACAGGCATGCGCCACCATGCCCAGCTAATTTTTTTTCCTATATATATTTTTTAGTTGGCCAATTAATTTCTCTCTATTTTTAGTAGAGACAGAGTCTCACTCTTGCTCAGGCTGGTCTCTGAACTCCTGAGCTCAAACGATCTGCCCTCCTCGGCCTCCCAGAGTGCTAGGATTACAGGAGGGAGCCACCACACCCGGGCCTTAATCACTTTTAAGTGTGTAGTTGAGTGGTAACAAGTACATCCACATTGTTGCACAACCATCGTCATCATACATAACCAGCACTTTTTGCATCTTGCAAAGTCAAAACTCTGCCACCATTCTAATTTCTTTCTCTATAAATCTGACTACTACTCTAGGACATAAGTAGGCTTTTAATAAACATCTATCAAATAAACAAATCCTGACCTACTTCTGTTTTGGTTACCAGGAAGCTCAGAGTTAAATTTCTGTGCTTTATTGCCTAGACTTTCTAACAAAATTATCTTGTGCTATTTTAATACAGATTTTTTTATACAGATGTTGGACTCACAACTGCCTATACTAAAGGTTATCATCTAATCTAAGATGCCATCATTATTTACGTTCCACTAAAAAACCAGAACACACCATTGATTGTAAGATACAGATGTATCATTATTTCAGACTCTTCAACATGTGAAAAGTGCTTCAGTGAAGTGGGGTATGTGTTTTATTCCATAAGCCACATCGAATCCTTTTTGGAGGTGGCAAGGGTGGTGAACATCATAAGAGACAATGAAACCAAATGCACGTTTTCAGAGACGAAGCAGCACCTCTTTGAAGATGTACTTCTCCCAGAAAGCGACCCCACCTCAAAGCACAGGCTCACCAGTGGCATTGGAGGAGGTCTGCAAAATCCCAGTCATCCAGGAGTAGACAGCTCTCTGGGAATGAGCCGAGGTTTGGTCGTAGAGATCTTTGAACACTGCAGAGCTAAACAACACAAACACGGCATCCATTAATAACAAACAGGTGGGAGCTGCTTTGAATGGGAGCCAAGACGGCAAATGTGCCCAAAGCTGTCCTGTGTTAAAAACCCTTCCCACTCCTTTGCTACATGTAGCAACTGCTCCCATTTCTACTCTTCCCCTTCACAGCTAAACACCTTTCAAAGAGTGTTCTGAACATACTGTCTCCATTCCCTCCCCTCTTGATCCTTTTGTGGAAGGGGAGGAGAGGATATCGATATTGAGATATAATTCATACACCGTACAATTCACCACACAAAGTGTACAATAGGCTCAAAGTTGTGCAACCATCATCACAACCGATTTTGGACCATTTTAAGCACCTCACAAAGAAACCCCATACCCTTGCTATCACCCCTCGATACCCGGTCTCCCCAACCCCTAGAAACCACTAATCTACTTTCTGTCTGTATAGATTTACCCATTCTGGACATTTCATATAAATGACATCATACAACATGCAATCCTTGTGTCTGGTTTCTTTCACTTGGCATGATGTTTTCAAGGTTCATGCCTGTCAGGGCATGTATCAGTACTTCATTCCTATTCGTGGCCAAATAATATTCCATTATATGGATATAACATATTTTGTTTACCCATTCATCAGTTGGTGGATATTTAGGTTGTTTCTGCCTTTTCGCCTTTTGTGAATATTGCTGCTATAAACATTCAGGTGTGAGCTTTTGTGTGGGCACATGTTATGTGTTCATGTCCCTTGGGAACGTACCCAGGGGCAGCACCGCTGGGTTAAATGACAGCTCCGTTGAGCCTCTCCAGGAACATGCCAGACTGTTTCCAAAGCAGCTGGGCCACTGTACACTCCCACCAGCCGTGCAGGTTTCTGACTGCCCTGTATCCTCCTCGACACTTGCTATTCTCTGACAGCTTCGATTAGAGACCTCCAGCTGGGTGTGAAGTGCTTCGGTCATTTTTTAAGCCACTGCAATCTGGTTTGCCTATCGCCACGTCACCCCCTGTGCCGCAAGCCACCTCCTGCTCGCCTTCTCTGGAGGTCTTATTTGGTCCAAATAGGACTCGCCCTTTCACAGCCTTTGCACTGATCCCCCCCTCCTGCCCAACCTGCAAAACAGCTGAGTCTCCTCCTCCTGGAAGCCTGCCCTCACCCCCCTCACTCCACCCCACTGAATAGCAATTCACCAATGGCCCATTCACCAAACTTCTCTAAGCTTAAACTTATCCTTGTCACTCCCCCAGCCAATTCATAATATATCTGAATAGGCAAACTTCCCCTGAAGCCCAATTAAACATCTTCTCTATTTTTCTTTTTCTTTTCTTTAATTTTCATTTTAAGAACAAGAGTTGGTGAAAGAGCAGGGGTAGGAGGAAGATATAGTCCTTTTTAAAAAATGGTAAACATCATTTAAGGGAAAGCTTGCCCATCTGCAAAAATGCCGGCTCTCTCTCGTTCCCTGGCAGACTGGCCTATGGCAAGTTACTGAGTCTCTCTGGGCCTCGGTGTCCTCATCTGAAAACCGAGGGTGGGATTTATGGCATCATTCTCACAGGGAGAAGAGGGATGGCAGGGTGCAGTGGGAAGACGATAAAGTCAGAATTCAGTAGACCTACAGTTAAGATTAAGTCAAATCCCATGGGATCACCACAAGGACACCATCCCGTCTCCAGGTCTCGGTTTCTCTATCTATGACAGAAGATTCTGGATCAGATGATGGCCGTCTGGATGTCTTCGGTGGAAGCAGGGGCGTGTTCCACACTCTGCTCCAGAACTGGGAGCTGGGAGTCAGGCAACCTCACGTCTGCGTCGTTCTGCTGTCTTTCTGTCTGCAAGACTCGTAACCGTCCCCAGCTCTCACTCAGGACCTACCTAAAGCTGGGTTTCGCAGTGGACCTCTGTGGGTTTTGACTGGCCAGCACCCATCCCCCCTTTTCTTATAACAGCACCTCGATTTTTCTAGAGAACACCATGCTTCTCCCATTCTCGGTCCCTGTTGTTTGGGTTGGGCTTTGACCCACATCGAAGCCATTCAGCATATTAGATCCCTTTACCCACAGTGATTGGCTCAGGGATGAGCACATAACCCAAGTCTGAACCAATAGGAATCATGCCCAGTACTTTGCTTGGAACTGTTGGAGAGACACAATGAGGTCTCCCACGGACCGTGCTCTCAGTGGAGATAGGCTGGATCTGCCAGCGCTCCCTGAGCAGACAGCCTGCCTAAGAGTGAGGCCAACCCATGGGAGAGCAGAGCAGAGAGAGATCCATGGATGTTCCTGGCGGCATAATTTGACCCTCTGGATCCAGCTGTGCCTGAAGCCAGCCTACACCTAAAACTATTCAACCACATGATCCAGTAATTTCCTTTTTGGCTCAAGCCAGTTCATATGGGTTTTTCTGTCACTTGCAATCGGATGAGCAGTGACCAATAAACTCCCTCTCCTGGTGATGTCTTCTCTGCCTCCATGCTCCTCTGCATACAACCTGAGTGAATGAAGGAGGAAGGAGATGCAGAATGTAAAAGGCATTGTGTAGTGGCACGCAGAGCAAAAGGGATTCACGAGATACATGTCTTGGCCAAAAAGCAGACAAAAATAAGGTCAGTATATTGTCTCTTTCCCCTACATTCCTTTGGCTGCATGAATAAAACAGAATCTCCCATCTTGGTGTCATCATACTGGTCTTTTCCTTCTTCTTAACCATGTTTAGATTTAGAAAAAGCCTTGTAGGGCCATATAAAGTGCTATAATTAGTAAAAAGGAGTGGCAGGGGTGGTGGTAACAATGCCTACACCCTTCAAGTCCTAGACGCGGTCCTCTAATTGGGTGTCCCTCTAAGTGTTGTTTCATACAGCTCACAAACATGAGCTGGCATGGCATCCCAAAGGGGGAAGAGTCTTCCTCTTTCAGGGCTCTGTCACTCCTTCTGCTGTCCTTCAGGGAGAAAGTCTCAGTTTAGTGCCAGTGAGTCTTTAACACACACTCAGCTCCTTGTTTAATCAATAAAACAGGCCCAAGACTCAGAGCCTTGGTCCCATGGACTGAATATTTGAGTTCCCCCCAACCAAATTCACATGTTGAAATCCTAATCCCCAAGGTGATGGTATTAGGAGGTAGGACCTGTGGGAGGTGATGAGGGTGGAGCCCTCATGGATGGGATTAGAGCCCTTATAAAAGAGACCCCAGAGAGCTCCCTCACCCCTTCCACTATGTGTGGACACAGTGAGAAGACACCTTCTATGAACCAAAAGGCAGGCTGTCATCAGACACCAAATCTGTCAGCACCTTGACCTTGGACTTCCCAGCCTCCAGAACCGTGAGAAATAAACGTTTGTTGTTTAACACATTAACTGCCCTGAGAGTTGTATTTAACTCACTCTAGTTTTGACCCTGGGGCTGCGTGAAGCATATATAAAATCTTACTTGCTGATGTTCTTATTGTCACAATGAATACTGACAATTTAATTCTAAAAATGTGGATTAAATGAATAGAAGTCAATAAATTTCATTTTTCTATTTATGTCTACCCTTAAATTACACTGGAAGTTTTTATTCTATTTTCATAATAAAACACTGTGTGGCCCCAAGGAAAAGTTACTAATTTTTTTGTGTTGCAGTCAATGTGTTAAGCCACCCAGTCTATGGTATTTTTTATTATAGCAGCCCAAACTGACCAGGTTGACTACCTAAGATACTTTAAGTAAGCAACATACTGAGCTAGGATTTAGTGACATTTTTTCATTATATTTATTTTTGTGATTATTGACTTAAGACAAAGGATACTGGTTTCCCATTTAGAGTCACGCTATCAAATTTACTTTTATAATAAATATTTTCAAGTAAAAACAAAATGAATGCCTATAAGGAAAAACACAAATTAAATAATAGTACTGGTGGCACATAGGTATGGCAGAAATGGTGAGGACGGCACCAGAGCTACTGAAATTTGGGAGATCCTGTTTTGATCAAACCATCGCTCAACTCCGCAGATTTTAAGCGTCAGCTCCAGAACTCACATATCCACCTGTCCCCACCTGTAGGCAATTATTACCTCCTCCAATTCTCACTCAGCCCCTGCTGGGCAGATGTGAGGTTTAGAGGGTGAGAAGAGGAACTTACAGGTTCTTAAAGGCGTCCTCGCGCAGGTCCTGGGGGAGCCTGTCTGTGAGGTCTGGCTGGAGAAAGCTGCCTGAGGACGCCCTCAGCAGCCTGCCCAGAATCTCCACGCACTCCAGGGAGGTCAGCACCTGGAAACACCTCTCCAGCGTGACGAGAAACAGGCTGCGGTTCACGCCAGGGCTCTGCAAGGCTTGTTGCCGAATCTCTCCCAAGTCAATGATGGTGTCCTTGAGGTCCTAAAGCAACGAGAGGAGCTGGGGTCACCTTTAGAGCTGCCTCTCCATTTGGAAGCCCTGGGAATGACCACACATTGCAGCAGTGGGGAAATTCAGGATCACTGTTTAACACCATCCTGTTAGGTCAAAATTTCTAGAAGTTTCCATCACGTACAGAACAAAGTCAAGGCCTTCACCTGCTCCACTCACTCTGGAGCCTTCCCACTCTCCAAATACATAGAGGCATGACTGTCATGCCTCTAGCTAAATTCCTGCCCTGCTCCTTTTTCTGGCGAAATCCAGCTTATCCTTTAAGGCTGAGCTCATTGGCCATGTCCCGGGCGAAGGCTTTTCTGGTCCCCTCCAATGTCCTACTTCAGATCAGATCTCCTCCACGATGTGCTCCCAGAAGATCTTGAGCCAAACTCTATCATGCATTAAAGAAGCTCATGTACCTGTCTTCCCAAGCCCATGGTTCTCAACTCTGGTGACACATCAGAATCACACGGGGAGCTCTGAAAAAGTACCAGTCTCTAGCCCTACTATCTAGAGTTTGAACTGATTGGTCTGGGTGGAACCCAGGCATTGATTCCAGTGTATACTCAGGGTTGAGCCAGAAAAGTCCTTGAAGCCTAAGCCATGTACACAGTGGAGGTATCTGGGGAAGAAGGAAGGGAGGAAGGGAGGAAGGGAGGGAGGAAGGGAGGAAGGGAGGAAGGGAGGAAGGAAGGAAGAAGGCTTTGATCCACAGAACCAAGGATACTAACAAAGTTTAGTCATCATCTGACTGATGCCTCTGTCCTTCCTCCCACACACCCTTCGAAAATAGCCTCCATTTTTGCTGAGCATCAACTATACACTAGGCAACTGCGCTGAGCGTGGGGCAAACATGCATCCTCTCACTTAATGTTCATGACAGTACTCTAGCTTAAATCCCATGGGTCCCAGGGTCAGGCATTCCTAGGTTCAAATCCCAGGGCCTCTGCTTATTATCTGTATGTCCTTGAGCAGATGGCTTGTCTTTTCTAAGTCGCAGTTTCCTCCTCCATAAAATGGAGATAAAGTCAGTACCTACTTTTTTGACTTGTGTAAGAACCAAATGAGATAATGATTGCAAAATGCCTGGTACCTGGTGAACACTCAACAAATGTTACATGTTATTATTAGCTCAATATCACAGGTGACTGAAATAAAACAGAATAAGTAAGCGGCCTAAACATACAAGGAGCTGGGATCTGAAACAAGTGTATCTGAGCACAAATCCAAGCTTAAACTATGACCAAGTGTTTCCCAACTTCAGTCATTCACTGCAGGTGCCGAACAGTGTAGTGGTTGAGAGTACACTTAGGCATCCTTAAGCAGAAGACTGTGGGTAGAATTTAGGGCATCTGTGAACATTGGGGGAAAAAATTGCACCCTCGTTTTTACTAGCATAGAACTGGTATTTTGCATTTCCTTCCTGGATGAATGTGTGCAATGAGGTAAGGACGGTGGTGGTAGGAGGATCTAAGACTTTGTCATCACTTGAAATCACGGATACTTTCAAAACACATTATGGTTGTTGCAGATATTTTGAAATCTTGTCTGCGCTCAATACTTCCTCAAAATTACGGAAGTTATTATACCTGCTGCTAAATCTTGTTATTGACCGTGTTAAAGAAGCACATAAATCGCTATGCCCCAAATGTGTTTGATTATAGAATGGGCTTCCTTTGTAATCCTTGGTGTTTTGTTTTATAGGTTTTAAAACATTATTCTGAGAAGGGGCCTGTGGACCTCACTAGATGCCAGAAGAGCTCAGAGCTGGAGTTAGAACCCCAAGTCTCAACCTCAGACTTGCTGCTTCCAAGCTGCCTCACCTGAGGTTACTTACTAAACCTCTCCAAGCCCCAGTTTCCTTATCTGAATATTAGAATGGTAAGAGTCTTAATAATCTTTTTTCAGAAGGTCCTGGAGAGTGTTCAATAAGTCAGTCCAGGCATGTTAAGTCCTTAGAACAGTGGTCAGCAAGCTGTGGCCCACAGGCTAAATCTGGCCCACAACCTGTTTTGTGAATAAAGTTTTATTGAAATGCATCCGTGCACATTCATTTACTAATCATCTACAGCTGCCATCACCCTGCAATGGCAGAGCTGAGTAACTAAGACACGGAATGTATGCAGTTCAGAGCCTAAGATACTATTAAAATCTGGCCCTTTAGAGAAACAGTTTGCTGAATGATGCCTTAGGATAACTCACATAGTAAACCCTCAATGAACGTTAAACAATATCATTTTCCTAGGCCACATCCCCATGTTTGCCATATCTTTTCACTGTCTTTCCTATTATTTACTTCATATTTTTCTTTAAACTGAGTCTTTTTTATTAAATTTAAATTTATTTCAAAAGGAAACTTTATATCCTTATCAAACTGGTTTGATATGCTCATCACGTTTTAATAACAGACATTAAAATAAGTATATGTTTATTAAAATGTTTAAATTATTCAGCTTTTGGGAGCCACTGCTCCACACTAAATGATCTCTACTAAAGAAAACTCTGAACTGAGCACAGTGGCTCATGCCTGTAATCCCAGCACTTTGGGAGGCCAAGGTGGGAGGATCACTTGAAGCCAAGAGTTTGAGACCACCCTGGGCAACACAGACCTTATCTCTGCAAAAAATTTTTAAAAATTAGCTAGGCATGGAAGTGCACACCTGTAGTATGAGCTACTCGGGAGTCTGAGGCAGGAGGATCACTTGAGCCCAAGAGTTCAAGGCTGCAGTGAGCTATGATGATGCCACTGTATGCTAGCCTGAGTGCTAGAGCAAGACCCTATCTCAAAATCAAAAATGAGAGGGGGTGGGGAAAAGAGAGAGAGAAGGCAGGGAGGAAGAATGAACAACAAAACCTCACTTTCTGGATCCCAAGGACTTTCAGGGCTCAGAGGCCAGACTTTGTGAGGCTCCTGTATCACTAATCTCATTTTGTGCAGATTATCTGTTTTTGTTTTTGTCTCCCCCCAACACTGTAAGCTCCCTGAGGGCAGGGACAGTCTTTCATCTCCATGTCCCCTGGTGCATAGTGACCATTCATGACTCTTTACTGAACCAAACTATTAGAAGATCCTTAGTACCCCTCATTTCTAGGTACCCACAAGAATATGAATTATAAGGCTTTTCATTTGAACTTTGGAGATAGTGAGAAAACCTAGATCCTAAAGCTCCCAGGGGGTTGGGGAAGGGAGAAGAAGGGAGGGAGAGAAACAAAGGAGAGTGGGTGCCAAGGCCTGAGTCAGGCTCCATTTGGTTAGATCCAACCAATACCACCTGGCCCTGGACTTCCTCTCCCCGCAGGATGCCAAGAGCGCCTCACCAAGCGGCCCTTCTTGTCTTCCAAGAGGCACCTCATGGCAGTGCGGAATCGCTGAGTGTCTGTTTCCCTCAGGTCCTCCAGCAGCTTCTGGGGCTGGTGCAAACGCTGCTCCAGGTGGTTTTCCATGGCTGCCTGGACGTGGGGTGTGGGGAGAGTCGGCGAGAACAGAAGGGCAGGGGCACGTGGTCAGCACCATGGCCAGCAGCCAGGCCAGGCCAGGCCACCTCATTCCCTGCAGAAGTGTTTGGTTTGGCCAGCTCCTAATTTTCTCATTAGCTGCCAACATTTAAAAGCCAGGACATTCCTCACAAAATCCAGATTCCCAACTTGTCTTGGAAAATGCAAAGATTTGGCAACACCGAGCACGTGTCTCCTTTTTGCAGACCCCGGGGGAGAGCTGCCTGCTGAAATAACTCCTCAGGCCCAGCCAACCTGGTTTCCCCAATCCATGGCCTGCCAGGTCCCGTAGACGGGTGTGGCTTCAGGTCTGCAGCAGCCGGCCTTTGCCTAGAAAGCGTAGCACCCCCAGGTGGCGCTGCTGCTCAAACCTAAGCTGTCTGGAGCAAATTCAGACCCAATGAACAAACTCGGTGGCTTTCCCTCCAAGGAAAGAAGCAAAAGCCACCAACCTCTCCTGAAAGAGATTTCCTCTGCTATCTGGGGAATTATTTTCTAAACCTCCCTGGCACAGAGGTGCTCTGGGACGGCAGCACAGTGTGACATTGTGAGCAAGAGGTGGACTCTAGACCCACACAACCCATATGCAAATCGTCACCTTGACACTAAGGCTGTGTGGCCTTAGACAAGTAACTTAACTAAGTTTGCTCCGTAAAATACAGGATGCTCAGTTAAATGTGAATTTCAGGTAAGCAACGAATAGTATTTTAGCATAAGTATGTCCCAAATGTTGCATGGGACATACTTATACTGGAAAAATTACTTCTTGGGTATCTGAAATTCAAATGTGACTAGGCATCTGTATTTTTATTTGCCAAATCAGCAACACTACTTCTGGGCCTCAGTGTTCCCATCTGGAAAATGTAGGGTTGTTAATGGGGATCAAGTGAGTGCGTAAAGTGTTTCCAATAGTGCCTAGCACACAATCAGTGCTAGGACTGATCACAGGATAACAAAGTGCCAGTTGTTATCCTTTATCCTGAATGAGCTGAATAATGATTTACTTAATGTCTCTCCACCTAGAACGAAAGGTCCGTGTGGGTGGTAACATGAGTGTCTTGTTCTCCACCAAGTCCTCAGTGTCTATGACTGGCAGAAGGTAGATGTTAAATAAGTAGGTACTGAATAAATAAATGAATGTGGAATATATGGGAAGAGAAGTAGTATATCTACTAATCAGATTAAAATAGATACATCTCACGAGAAACCTTAGAGCTCAGGAGAAAAGAGGCAGGCATTGCTTCTCTTGAGGTTGTCACAACTAACAAACAGGAGAAGGTTGATAGACGCCATGTGGGGCTGACAGCCACCTCCAGCTAGAGGGTGTCCCGGTACGTGGTGGACAGTCAGCTCTCTGAGTGTAGCCATGATGTGAATGTTGGTTGATATTTTCATTTTTGTTAAAACAGAAGTAAAAATTGAAACACGACACGTGTCAGAACTGTATTCCTTGGTTAGTGGCGTGAGTGGCTTCTTTCCCAAACCGGGCAATAGTTTTTATTTATTTAATTATTTATTTTTTTGAGACAGAGTCTCACTCTGTCGCCCGGGCTACAGTGCCGTGGCGTCAGCCTAGCTCACAGCAACCTCAAACTCCTGGGCTCAAGCGTCCTTCTGCCTCAGCCTCCCAAGTAGCTGGGACTACAGGCATGCGCCACCATGCCCAGCTAATTTTTTCTATATATTTTTAGTTGGCCAATTAATTTCTTTCTATTTTTTAATAGAGACGGGGTCTTGCTCTTGCTCAGGCTGGTTTCGAACTCCTGACCTTGAGCGATCTTCCTGCCTCGGCCTCTCCGAGTGCTAGGATTACAGGCGTGAGCCACCACGCCCGGCCAAGTTTTTAAATGCTGAAAGAATATTTTCTCACTTTTTTGTGCTATTCACAATATAATGGTAAAGACACAACATGCCACGCTCAGCTAATGGTCACGCTGAAGAGGCATGTGCGGTCCAATTTACCGCGGTCCACACCGTGCCCTAGTGCCCCTTAGGGCAAATATCTTTTGCCACCTGGCAACATGCTTGTGCAATTGTTTTCTTTATGGGAGGGTTAAAAGGAAGAAAAATATTTCTTGGACCCATTACTGTGAGGCTGATAATTATGCCCCAATATCCACTGGCCCTCTGCTTTTTTTATCAATAGAACCCCTCAATTTTTAGCTGGGCACATGGCTGCTTTCCAGTGCAATGTGACTGTGGCATGTGAGCCAATGGAACGTGAGCAGATGAAACTGGGTGACTTGCTAGTCACATCCTTAGAAGAGAAGATGCTCACCGTCCACTGCCTCTTGTCACCCCCTCCCCCGGGTTGGAGAACGAATGTGGTGTTTCAACCATGTGGACAACAACCCCCTAAGAGGTGACAGAGCAAAAAGATAAAAGGAATCTGAGTCCCTGGTGATGTTTTGGAACAGATCTGCCTGGTCCCTCTGGATCTCCCACTTAGCTCTGGACTATTACATGAGAAACTAATAAATGAAATTGCTTCCGTTGCTGTAGTTTTGGGTCTCCTTGTTACAGTGTCTCACCCTAATATACCTTGTCTCCATCAAAAGTTGGAAAATGGAAAGAAAGACAAAAGTGCTTGTATCACGTTTCAAGAAAAACTGGGCAGAAAGCTTTTCTTTGCAGAAGTCAAGAATTTCTCTATGCCCAGCCCACTTCTCCAACTTCCCTGGCCCCTGAGTTTGCAATCCCTGAGCATGAGAGGGGACCACACGCGTGAGTCTCAGGTACACACCTGCAGGCTGGACATGGTGAAGGGAACATGCCGTGCATCCAGGTAGGCCAGGACTCTATCCGACTGGTCTGCCGTCCACACGTGGGAGCTTCGGTTGAAGACAGACAGGAGAAGGTCACAATGACAGGTGCCCCTACAAGTGGCACTGCACTAGCTGAGTGGCCCAGAGACAGGAGTTCAGAAAGAGTGGTGGGAATGGGCCAGGGATGCTTGGAAATAGGAGATTTCTTAACCGGGCAAGTGCTGGGGAAGTTTCCAGCTCTAGGAATCTGCCTGGACCCCATTCTTTCAAAGACAATTCTCCATTTCTGAGCTGTGTGCTACTTCCTCATTCCCATTACAATCCCCTTTGGGTTGACTACAAGCCAAACTGCTTGACATGGAACGATGTCCTCACTACATTAAGTTTAAGTGGCAGGTGCCATGTGTGCCACAGGAGCCTGGAATAGCACAGTTAAGAGTGTGGGCTCCGAACCTGGGTTTGAACCCTGGCTCTAACACATAGTTATGTGGCCTTAGGCAACTTGATTTTTTGTGCCTCAGTTTCCCTTTCTATGAACTATGGCCAACGATGGTGAGGATGAAATTCACTCACACACATAAATTGCTTAAAACAGTGCCCAACATGCAGTAAATGCTGTCAGAAAGCCTTTTACAATCCCACATTTGTTATAAATAAATAGATGGATGGACCGGTAAATTAATAAATAAATAAAACATGTAGGCTGGAAAAATATATTCAAAACTATCAATCCCGTAAGATAATATCTTACGGAGAGGAGTGTTTACAGGGATCTCTCACTTTCACATAATTGGGTGTCCCAGACGTGGGGTCCCAAGGCCCCCATCTTTTCTCCTTCATAGAACTCACCGTATTAGAATTATTTGTTAATAGTGGCCCTTCCACAACACCACCTAGCTCCCTGCCCCACGTCTCCAGTATCTAACACAGGCCTGTGTGCAGCATGTAGCATGACAGAGATATGATGGGCCCTGGATCCAAGCTTCCGGTCCATATCCCAGCTGTGGTCTTTCCATCCAGCTGTGTGGGCCACAGCTGGGATAATCACCCCCCGCCCCCGGGGCCTCTCATTATTCTGTCCAACGGGACAACAAGAAGACCTACGTCCTAGGGCATTTGTCAGGGTTAAATGTGTTTCTATGCACCAGGCACTGAGAGCAGTACTCACTAACTACATAGTAAGCACGCAATCAGTTTTGGCTCCTACGCTAGAGCCTAGGAGGAATAAAGGTTTGTGGAACAAAGGTGTTGACTTTTAAAACACTTGTGCGTGGGTTGACTCTTTTTTTTTATAATGAGCGCGTATTGCTTTTTATAATGAAGCAATTTCCATTAAGAATTTTTATTAAAGATCTATCCCATCCCTTCCCCTCTCCCCTGGAGGGCAGGTTACCTTTGAAACTGTATGAGATCCAGTAATGCTACAATGGGAATAAAATGAAAAGACAACTTAAAAAGGAATCATTCCAGAGAGATCACAGCCTCATTCTGTTTGAAATTCTTAGAAGCAGCCAATGGAGACAGAGGGGCACATACATTACCATTCAGATAGCTTCCGTCTATTATTTCTTCCTAAAAGGCAAAGAGATAACATCAACCATGACACCCCAAAGTTGGCAGTTCCAGCGGAGGGGATTTTGATTAAAAGAAAATGGAATACTCACTGCCATTTTTTGCAACAACGGATGCAAATCTGTAAGAAAGCCATGGAATGGATAACTAGAATTGAATTGTGTGACCTTCAAAAATGCAAACATGAGTTAGGAAGAAAGCCCCTAAAAATGCTGCTCAAAAAGGAAATCTTTAGTGTGTCTTAATTATACCTGTGCTCAGCTGGGAAAATCTTGGTTTGAAAAACTTTCTTAGAATAATCCTTAGAAATCCTACACACATACACGCACACACACTCGAACAACTTAAGGCATCATGTACCTAAATTGATCTATCCCGATACATCCCCTGAGATGTCTGGAAACCATGAAGGGTGATTCCTCCCTCGTACTTACCCTCACTGGAATCTGGAATTCTCTGACTCGCCACGCCATGGCTCAGAGCAAGAAACAGGAAAAGGGTGTACGTCGTAGGTTCCTGAGACATTCTCCTGCAGTTAATTCAAGCATAGAAGTGATTCAGGTTTGGTTTTTAAAATATATTTAAGGACATTAAGAAGACAAAAGGGAAACACAAGTAAACCCAGAACTTTTTTAAAAAAAATAATCTTAAAATCCCATCGACTTTGCCCCATCTAAGCCTCTATTCTAGTCTAAGACACAATGATCACTCTCCTTGGCCACTACAATGGCCTATTTTTCTTCTTACCACCATCTTCCCTCCCCTCCATCCTGCAAAGAGGAATATTCGTAACATTACGAACATTTGTGTATAGGTTTTTATGTGAACACAAGTTTTCATTTTTCTGGGATAAATGCCCAAGAGTGCAATTGCTAGGCTGTATGTTAAGTGCATGTTTAATTTTATAAGAAACTACTAAACAGGAACCTATCCAAATGTCCTTCACTGGGTGAATGGTTAACCAGGCATCCTCAAACTACGGCCTGAGGGCCACATGTGGGTGTTTTTGCCCGTCTGATTTTTTACTTCAAAATAAGATATGTGCAGTGTGCATAGGAATTTGTTCATAGTTTTTTTTTAAACTATAGTCCAGCCCTCCAATGGTCTGAGGGACAGTGAACTGGCCCCCTGTTTAAAAAGTTCGAGGACCCCTGCGTTAAACTAACTGTGGTATATCGAAGGCATAGAATAGTACTCAGCAGTAAAAAAGGAATGAACTATTGATACATGCAACAATCTGGGTGGACATAAAGGGAATTATGTTGAGTGAAAAATGTCAACAAAAGGTTATATATTGATGATTCCATTTATCTAACATTCTTGAAATAAAAGTATAGACATTGAGAACAGATTAGTACTTGGGGGGGAGATGTGGCTACTAAGAGAAGCATGAAGGACACTTATGGTCATGGGAAAGTTTGGGGTCTTGGTTAGGCTGGTTGTCACATGCATCTACATACGTGACGAAATTGAAGAAAACAATGTACAGATACACACACAAAGAAGTGCGTGTAAAACTGGCGAAATCTGAATAAGCTCTGAGGATGGGACCATGAATTCCTGAATTTGATATACTATTGTTATGCAAGGTGTAACCATTGGGGGAAACTGAGTACACAGGATATTTCTTTTGTAACTTCCTATGAATCTATAGTTATTTCAAATTTTTTTAAAAAATGTTAGTTCTAGTGTTCAGTACCACGACAGGATGAATATAGTTAACAATAGTGTATTATATAGTTTCAGATATCTAGAAGAAGGATATTGAATGTTCCCAACACAAAGAAATGATACAATTTGAGATGATGCATATGCTAATTACCCTGATCTGATCACTATACACTATATGCATCCAAACATCACTATATACTCCATAAATATGTGCAATTATTATATGTCAATTAAAAATAAAATAATAAAAAATTCCTTTTTAAAATTCTTCAAAGGGGGAAAAAACCTTTTTTTTTGCTTGGGAAAAGGACTAAACTACTAATACCTGCAAGAACATGGATGAACCTCAGAAGCGTTATGCTGACCAAAAGAAGCCAGCCACAGAAGAGTACATATGCCTGATTCCATTTCTATGAAACTAAGATATGGAAAATAATCTACAGTGACAGAAAACAAGTCGGGAGTCTCCCGGGGCACTACAGAGTGCTGTGGGAGGAGTTTATTAAAAAAGGCTTGAAAAAAGGGTACAAAAGAACTTTTAGAGGTGATGGAAATGTCCGTGTCTTGATTGTGGTGGTTGTTACAGAGATACATACATTCACCAAATCTCATTGAACTGTACACTTAAAATGCATGCTTTTTTTTTTCTTTTCTTTCTTTTTTGAGGTCTTGCTTGACAAGGTCTTGCTCTGTCACCAGGCTAGAGTGTAGCAACAAGATCATAGCTCACTGCAACTTCAGACTCCTGGGCTCGAATGATCCTCCTGCCTCAGCTTCCCCAGTAGCTGGGACTACATGTGTACAGCACCACACCCAACTAATTTTTCTAATTTTGTAGAGATGGGGTCTCACTATGTTGCCCAGGTTGATCTTGAACTCCTGGCCTCAGGTGATCCTCCTGCTTCAGCCTTCCAAAGTGCTAGGATTACAGGTATGAGCCACCACGCCTGCCCCATTTTATTGTATGTAAATTGTACCTAGAAAAAGTTAATATCAAAAGAGAAAGAGAAAAACACGGACTATGGAGCCAGACCACCTGATTCGAATCCCATCTCTACCATTTACTAGCTGTGTGATGGTGGACAAGTTGCTTAACCTCTCTGTGCTTCAATTTCCTCATCTGTGAAATGGGGTTAATAATGGTACCCACGTCCTAGTGTCATATGAGGAAATCACCTTTACCACAGGGCTTGACACAAAGTAAGCTCTATATACAGGTTTATTAAATAAGCAAATAAGCCAGATTGCTGTTCTCAAAATTTAAATCTACTCATGTCACCCTCCTCCAGTTGCCCTCAGGATAAAGCCCAAAACATTTTCAGTGGCCTTGTCACTCTCCTCTTTGTCCCTCGCTCCCCAAGGCTCCTGCTTGGACCGTCTGTCTGTGCCCCCAGTGTGGCACTCCTCCTGGTAGCAAAGCCCTCTCACAGGCTGTTCCTCTACCCGGAAGGCTTTCCCCTCCCGCTCTGTCTGGCTAACATCAACTCATCAATGAAGACTTCCCAGAATTCTCTAAGCCAAGGCAACCAGAAGAAAAGGCCAACAATACTTCTCTTTTATAGCACCAAGCACACCTATAAACACATATTTATATTTGTGTAATTATTTCATGCATTCATTCACTAAATATTTATTGTGTGCCAGGCATTAGTCTATGTCCAAAGAATACAGCAGTTTGCAAAACTAAGTCCCCGCCGGTGTGCTGGGGTGACCAGGCAGAAAATAAATAGATAATCCCGTAAGTATACTACGTCAGGGAGGGATGAGTGCCAGGGAGAAAAATGAAATGGGGTAAGAGAAGGACAATGAAGCAGTGGCTACTATTGTAGACAGTGTGGTCAGGGGAGACCTGAGGAAGTGACATTTAAACGGAGATCTGAGGGAGTGAGGAAATAGATCATGGGAATATCTGGGGAAAGAAAGTTCCAGAAGGAAAAAATGATAGTGCAAAGGCCTTGAAGTTAGGAGCATAGTTTGCATGTTCTTCAATAAATCGTAGGAAGAGGATGAGAGCAGTAGGGGGGAGGCTGGAACGGTCAAAGCCAGATTGAGTAGGGCCTTAAGGACATTGTAAGGACATTGGCTTTAACTTGGAGGGAGACCAGAACCCCTGAAGGGATAGCATGCCAGAAGAAGGGCATGCTCAGACTTTTATTTTAACTGGATCAAGCACGCTCATTGCACTGTTGAGAATATTCCAGAAAGAGGCAATGCCCATAGCAAAGAGACCAATCTAGAAATGAGATGACAGTGAGTTGGTCACAGATAGCACTGAGGGTGGTGAGAAGTGATTGGATATAAGGAATAAAAGAAACAAAGAACTCATAGGTGACACCAAGGATTTGGGCCTGAGCATATAGAAGGGGAGATGGGGAATTCCATGGGAGTTGCAAGTTTTGAGGAGGATTTTGGACATATTAAGCTTGAGACACCTACTAAACACATGAGCAGAGATAGCAAGTGGGCAGTTTGGTGTTTGAGTCTGAGTTCAGGAGAGAAGGCCACACTGAACCTATCTATGCAGAGATGTTCAGCATATATTTAAACTTCTAACACTGGAAGAGATCACCAAGACAGTGAACGCAGGGAGAAGCTATAATAGGTGCCCTGGACTGAGACCCAGGGCACGTCATTGCCAAGATGTTAGGTAGACTAGGTACAACCAGCAAAAGCAAGACTGTGGAAAAGTCTCCAAAACAAACAATCTAGTTTCTCCAGCCAATATATTACAGAGAGAGAGAGAGAAAACACCTATGGACTTATGGACTTAAAAAAAAAAAACTTAAGAGATACATCAGTCACTTGTAGCATATAGACTTTATTTGGATCCTATTCAAATGCACCATAATGAAACAAAAAAACATGAAATAACTGGTGAAATCTGATCCCTGATTGAATATTCAATTATTTTAAAGAATTATTGTTAATATTTTTAAGTTTGATAATGGAACTGTGGTTATATTTTTAAAGGACTTCTCATCATTTAAGGTGGAAGAGAGTCAGCAAACACAACCCAAGGGCCAAATTCAAACAGCTGCCTGATTTTGTGTGGTTCATAAGCTAAAAATGGTTTTTACATTATTTAAATGTTTTTTTAAAAATTGAAAGAATAATATTTCTTGACACAAGAACACTTCATGCATGAAATGTAAATGTTAGTGTCTATAAATAAAGTTTTATTAGAACACATCCATGCCCATTCACTTAAGTATTGCCAATGACAGAGTTGAGGACTTGGGACAGAGAACGTACGGTCTCCAAAGCCAAAACTATTTACTCTCGGTTCCTTGACAGAAGTTTGCCAACCCCTCTGTTAGAGCTACTTACTTACATATTGACAGAAGAAATGATATGATGTTTGGGATGGCCTTCGAAATAATACTGGCAGAGGGAGATGGGTTGGGGGTGGGGGGGAATAAATGAAGCAAGGCCATTGTTGAAGCTGGGTGCTGGAGACAGGGCTGCTGATTATATTCTTCTATGTCTACTTTTGTATGTGTTTGAAATTTTCCACATCACAGTGCTTAAAACGGAAAAGCAAAACAAAAGAGACTGTGAGTTTTTAACCAAAGAGGTTAGGTACATGAGGAGGAACTAAGATAGGGAACTGAGAGGAGTGGCCGGGTGGAGATGGTGTCCTTGAGGTCAGGTGGAGAAAGAGAAGTCTCAGAAGCCACTGGGAGGTCAAGTCAGATGAGGACTGAGAATTGCGTTTTGTTTCACCAGACTGCCAGGTGGCCGGTACCCCACTTACGTGATACCATCTATATTAACAGGAACTTTCGGTCTCAAAGAGAACCCCATAATACCCACCCACGGTCTCCTGAAATCATTTTATAGATGTCCTAGCACTCTTTACTACAGATTTCCCTGTTATTGTCTAATCTGTTATGCACATGGATCATTTTTCCTCCACGGGGACCTCTACAACCAGCTTTAAAAACAATTATGCTCATTTTACTGCTCAGGGCAAAAACAGACAGTGAAGCTTTTGAAATCTCCAGTCACCAAAAGCTGTGCATTCTAACAGGTTTTGAGCGAACCGGATCCCAGGCGCTTTGTAGGTGCATTCCGCCCCACTGGTCGCCACCCCGGAGCTCGTATGGTCAACTTTAATGATTAAAGCCTTCCTGGGTTTGGGTCTTTTTTGGCTTTGAGGAACCTTTGGCCCTTTTTTTCTCCCTTCCCTTTGGGCAGCTGGCCCGGGGCATTGGCCTCATTCACAATTCTCCAGTTTCCCAGACAATGAGGCCCCTTGTGCTCATTGCTTGGGGCTCCCCATTAACTCTATGGAGAGGTTTACGGTTACTGGAACAGATGCTTCGCTCTCTGCTGCAAATAATGTCTCCGTTCCAAGAAAACCCCAGCCCATCGCCAGTTCGGGATTTGGTTTTAATTAAAAGCCCTTTGGGTCACTCTCTTTTAGTAGATTGGCCAACAACATTGAAAGGACTGGGCAGGGCACTGGCGATCTGGGGTGGATAGCTTTCTCCACGGCCCCGCCCCTGCCCCACCAAAAGGCACCCCCGGCTGCAGACTGGCGGGAATCAGGCAGGTTAGGATTCCTTGGGTGGCAGCTAAATGAAAACAGCAACAATAACCACAAAGCTGAAATGATGACAGTGTCCTGAGAAACCGAGAGAGTTTGATGTCCCAGTTGCCTGAGACCAGAGGGTTTCCCAGGACTCAGAACTTTTCATTTTTAAAACCAGAAGGTTGCAGGCAAACCAGGACTAGTTGGTCAGCCTACTGATCAGAGCCACTTTGTCTTCTATGAAACTTACAAAGATGCTGGGAAGTTCCGCCTCTGCTGGGACATCCCACCCCAGACACAAACCAACAATTCACAATTATGTGGAGTCTCGCTGTCTGCAAAGCAGCTCCATTTAAGGTCAGTATCATGAACATACACATGTGAGCATACAGACACTGATGGGGAGATTTTCCACTAAAAAAAACATTTTATGACAATGAATGCAAAATAGGCAAACGGGTCTGGCTTGTAGAATATCAGCCTGACCTAACTGGATTTGCATTTTATTTCAAAAGCATGCTGTTGGAATGGCCCAGCTCACAAGGATAGCAGAAGTTCAAGGGTGTCCACTTTGTGGACTAGGGATGAGCTCTTAGCCCAGCTCTGCCCCTAATGGTGAGACTCTAGGCACAGTTGGTCCCCTCCTCCTCTCTCAGCCCCAGGAGAGCAAATGGAAAGCTTTGGCTTCATTGAGGAAAAGAAGAAAAGATAGAAAGAAACCGGTCTCACTGGGCGTCTTCCATGTGCCGGCCGACATGCAAAGCCCTCCCTGTCGTTTACTGTTTCCATCAGCCCTCGAGGTTTACTTTACTTAGTTTCACAGATGAGTTCAGTGCACACGAAAGGTCACACAGCAAGCAAGTGGCAGAGAGGGGGCTCTGATGCCTGCTGCTTGGCCCCCGAGTAATCGTGATCCCAGCAACCATTTAACTCAAGAAGTCCCCTCTAACGTGCATTGTCTTGCTTAATTCTTGCAGAGTCTTGGAGGCAGACATTACTGCCATCCCTATTTCACAGATGAGGAAATGGGTTCTAAGTGGTCCAGTGACCTGCCCAAGGTCAGACAGTTACACAGTGGCAGAGACGGGTGGCAAACCCAGAGCTAAGTGATTCCCAGCCCTTACTAGCTTCGCTCCCCAGCCTCTCTGCTCGGCAGCCCTGAACCTAAAACTCCAGGTGGCCAGTGCCACCTCAGGGATAGGAGCCTCAGCTTTAATCTGGACCACCCATTACTCACTGTGTGCTATTGGGCAAATTCCTTAACCTCTCTGGGCTTGCATTTCCTCCTCTGTGCAATGGGGGTAGCACGGGCCCCTCACTCACAAAGACCGTGTAAACATTTTTAAAGTTCATAAATTTATCCAACACATACTCACTGCTATTTGCTTTATCTGCATTTTCCCATTTCTTTCTCACAACAGTTAGGAGGTAGATATTACTTTCTTTATAGGTAAAAATACGTAAAGAACCAAGCCCAGCCCTGGCACATGTAAGAATTCAATGCATAGTAGCTATGATTGTTATTAATCATGTTTAGCTATTGTTTTTGCTGCCGCTATGACTATTATCACAAAGTTGCTGTCATCGCTGTTATTGTTATTACTATTACTAAGTAGGTCTGGAATCCTTTCCTCGAAGTTTCCTCACACCCCACCCCCTTCCCCATGGACGTCCCCACCCCAGGAGCCCTTAACGCCGCTGTACCCCTCCCTTTGCCCACCCTCCTCCTCTCCCTGCCCGCCCCCACCGCACGCGCACCTGTGCCCCTTCCCAGGGGAGTCCCGCGTCCCCAGGAGCGCCGGGGTCCTCCGCGCCCTCCGCGCGCCTCACCTGCGGTGCCCGGCTCGGCTGCTCTGAGCCCGGCGGGGCGGGGCGGGGACACTCCGGGGCGCCCCCACCTCGGCTGGCTGGGTCAGCCCCGGGGCTCACAGTCTCGCAGGCCACGCCTGGGGCTTCCAGTCTAGACCCGGACACTCTCCTCCCCACCCTTGGGGATAGCAGCGAGTCAGGGAGCATCAGGAGCTCTAAAGACATATCAGCCAATTGCAATGTAGGGTCTTCATTTGGATCCGGATTCAAACAAACCATTAAAAAGTGATAAGACAATGGGAGCCATGTGCTGGCTGGATAGTTAGTGGTTAGGTTTTTTTTTTTTAACTGTGTGATAATTGTAATATGGCTCGTTTTCAAGAGTCCTTATGTCTTACAGATAGATACAAAACTGAAATGATACGATGCCTGAAATTTGCTTGGAAATAGTGGGAAACTAGGAGTTGTGGGAGTATGGATGGAACAGGATTGACCCTGTGTTGATAATTGCTGAAACTGGGTGAGGAGGGTTTATAACCTTTCTTCTTTTTTTATGTGCTTGGAATTTCCCATAATAAAAAAAAATTGTCTTAATAGTAAGATCTATCATAGAAGTATACACACACACACACACACACACACACACGCACACGCACGCACACACACGGTAGGAAAAGATTCATCTTAAGTGTCCACCAATAAGGAAATAGCTATATAAACAATAATACATAAATTCTGTGGATTATACAATCACTGAAGTGGTCATTAACAAAAACCATATAATTAGCACAAGGAAATAATATTATATCGAAAACAAAAAAGCCAAATATTAAGTAAAATATGTGTATGAACTTTTGTTACAACTAGAAGGAAATGCATTAAAATACTAAGTTTGCATAGTAGAATTATGCTTAACTGTTTTGCATCTTTCCTAATGAAAATATAACTGTGGACTCTAGAGGGTTCCTTGCAATCCTTCACATTTAATGAAACACATCTCAATGATTGTAATTTTTTAAAGCAATTATTGAAATGCCTAATGCTGACATTAATATTTCAGTGGCAAAATTAAAACATTCTCTTCAGAAATGGCCAACGGTAGTGTTCTATTGCTCCATCTGATAGTAATTTATATAATACTGGTGTCCAGCATCTTTAAAAACATCTTTTTATCCCCAGGGTCTTGGTTTAATCCTTTAAACAAAAGCTTACACTCAAGCCCTAAATGATGGGAAATGTCTTCCATCCCTTGTCAATTTTCGATTCAGAAAACAGGTCTATGAGTCTCACATGATTCTTCTTAGAAAAAATAAAAGTATCTTTTCATTTTTACATATTTTAATGTTTAAAAGTTGACACGTGTGTGTATACATACATGCACAGAAAAAAAAGCATGGAAAGGCATAAACTAAAATGTCAATAGTGGTACTCTGAGGGCTGAGATAGGTAAACTTTATTTTCTTCTTTTTTGCCTATGTTTTATACTTTTTCTACAATGAACACGTTCCTTGTAATGCAAAAACCATTCCGGCTTTACGATCATCTTATAAATAATAAAAAGAAGGTGGCGCGATCAAGTGTTGGAAAACCTGTTTTGTTCTGTGTATAAAGAGAACCCAATGTTTTCTCAGCCACTGAGGCTCTGCCATGTGAAAAACTATTGAGGGTTCAAGGGCATTAAAACCAATAATTTGTGTTGAATCCCAAAAAATGATATGAGAAATGATATGACAGCTTTTGGGCATTCTATCTGTTCTTAGTTTTCAGAACTTAAGAAATGCAGATATATAAGACATCCCAATTTTACATGGTCATTTATATGGGGAAAAAAATCTTGACTTTTCATTTTACATGTGTTGAAAGTAATTTTAAAGTGACTTCGTAACAAAGGCATATTATTGAATTCATGTGAATGCAGCATACTGACTCTAAAATCCAAAGGGAAATCTTAAGTTCTAGTTATGTAATAACATCCTCTCAATTCTCCAAAAGCATAAAATTTCACAGTGAAAAATAAGTATTTTGTTATCCGTGAATACTGACACCAATTCCATGATACTATTACCGATAACAAGATACCAAGTACAATTTTATTAGTAAATGAAGCCAAATGCCATATAAGTTGTACTATAAAAACAAATGATGTTGCCAGCTAGTCCACTGGTATGAAAAACAAAAAAAAAACAAATGATGCACTAATGCAAATCAAATCAGAACCACGAGACACCACCTTATACCCATTAGGATGGCTACTATTAAAAAAACCAGAATATAAATGTTGGCAAGAAATTGGAACTGTTGGTGGGAATGTAAAATGGTGCAGTCACTGTGGAAAACAGCATGGTGGTTTCTAAAAAAATTAAAAATAGAATTACTATGTGATCCAGAAATTCCCCAAAAGACTTAAAAGCAGGGTCTCCAAGAGATATTTGTCCACCCATGTTCGTAGCAGCATTATTCAGAACAGCTAAAAGGTAGAAGCAACCCAAGTGTCCATCAATGGATGAATGGATAAGCAAAAAATGTGGTATACTCGTACAATGGATTATTCATCCTTGAAAAGGAAGGGCATTCTGACACTGGCTACAACAGGGATGAACCTTGAGAACATTATGCTAAATGAAATGAGCCAGTCACCAAAAGGCAAATACTGTATGACTCCACTTATGTGGGGTACCTGGAGTAGAGGAAGAGGCAAAAAGTAGAATGGTGGTTGCCAGGGGATGGGGGTAGGGGGACAGAGAGCTACTGTTAATGGATATAGTTTTAGTTTTGCAGGATATAAATTTCTAGAGATGGTTGGTGGTAATGGCTACATAACATGAATGTGCTTAATACCACTGACTGTACACCTAAAAATGGTTAAGATGGTTAACTTTATGTTGTGTTTCACTATAATAAAAAAAAATTGGAAAAAAATAAAAACAAATGCTAGCACTCTATTTCAGTGAACTCTAATAACTTAAAAAGCAACCAGGCCTGGTGGCTCATGCCTATAACCCCAGCACTTTAGGAGGTGGAGGTGGGAGGATCATTTAAGCCAGGAGTTGGAGACCAGCCTGGGCAACCAGTGAGACCCTGTCTCTATAAAAAAAAAAAAAAAAATTTTTTTTTTTTGAGACAGAGTCTCACTCTGTTGCCAGGGCTAGAGTGTTGTGGCATCAGCCTCGCTCACAGCAACCTCAAACTCCTAGGCTCAAGCAATCCTCAGCCTCAAGTAGCATGTGCCACCATGCCTGGCTAATTTTTTCTATATATTTTTAGTTGGCCAATTAATTTCTATTTTTAGTAGAGATGGGGTCTCGCTCTTGCTCAGGCTGGTTTCGAACTCCTGACAAGCAATCCACCCACCTCGGCCTCCCAGAGTGCTAGGATTACAGGCGTGAGCCACCTCGCCTGGCCAACAAAAATTTTTTTAAAGAATTAGCCAGGCATGGTGATATGTCATTAGTTAAAAATTAGTGATATGTCATTAGTTAAAAAAAAAAAAACAAAAAAAAACTGGCAAAATCCCAATAGCTTAGAGTTTAATTAACAATGTACCAATGTCAATTTTTCAATTTGAGAAAAATACCATGGTTATGTGGGATGTTAACATTAGGGAAAACTAGTTAAAGGGTATACAGGAACTGTATCACTTGAGGCCAGGAGTTCAAGGCCAGGAGTTCAGCCTAGCAACATAGCAAGATCACATCTTGACAAAAAATTTTACAAATTAGCTGGGTGTGGTTGCATGTGCCTGTACCCTGACTCTAAAAGAAAATAAAAATAAAGTGTTAAGTAACAAGCTACAACCAAAAGTTAGGATCAATTCCTACACAGAAGACAAAGACAATACAAATATATTAGAAAAATTGATAACGCAAGAGACAAAATATGAATGCTCATATAGCTACAAGAGTATGTGAAATTCTTTGTCTCACTGTCACCCAGACTGGAGTGCAGTGGTGCTATCATAGCTCACTACAACCATCAACTCCCAGGCTCTAGCGATCTTTCTGACTCAGCCTCCCAAATAGCTGGAACTACAGGCATGCACCACCACACCCTGCTAATTTATTTTTTGTAGAGATGGGGTCTCAGTATGCTGCCCAGGCTGATCTCAAACTCATGGCCTCAAGCATCCTCCTGCCTCAGCTTCCTATAGTGCTGGGATTATAAGTGTGAGCCACCACACCTGGCCATGAAATTCTTTTTATTTTTTTTTTTAATTTTTTTCACGAAATTCTTTTAATCATTAGTCTGTTCACTATTGCCCAGCTATCACCAAGTAACAATCCACTACTTGAGAAAAGCTAGACTGTTGCTTTTATATTGCAAATATAAGGTCTATTTCCTTAATGATTCTGGGTGCATTTTTTTCCATTTAGATCACAAATGTTGCTTAGCATGGATACAGTGAGAATTTCCTTCTGCTGATCCATTGTTTTATATCTTTGATAAGTTGGTTGTAAGTTTGTGAGCATCCTTTTTTCAATTATTAGCCCAATTTTGTGCTCAGTGAACTCCTAGACAGTCCGACTCAGCCCAGATGGCCCTGTTTCGGTGTTTTCAAGCTAAAATGTGGAAGCACTGATTGTAAGGTATTAATAATTTAGGAGTACTGAGGCATCTGCACAAACATGGTAGGTCACTAGCTACTGGAAGCTATGAATGTGCTATCCTTAGAGAAAAAGGATCCTGGACTACCTCTATCAGTAACCAAATGGTGGGAAGCAATTAATAAAAACATCTTGCTTCATTACAAGTCCATTAATACTCAGAACTAAATGAAAACAAAGCTTTACTCAGAAGATAACTCGAAATAATCTATGTTTGACATTATTTCCCAACCAAACTGTTTGCTGTTTGAAAGTCAACTACATAAAAACTGATGACAGGTCATACAGGTTAGTAGAAAATGCAGTATCGTTTTTAATTACTCTGGACAAAGGAGACATATGACAAAGGGCATTGAACATTCTTCCCTCCCCTTCTCTGAGATCAGTGGCCTGAACACTCAACACGCTTATAATGCAAGTGCCAGGAGCTCGGGATCACAGGTGCAGCTTGCATTTCCTTTCTCTATTGACCTTTAAGGTCAATTGGTTAGCATGCTTTGACCACAAATAGAGCTCTTAATTTCTCTAGCACAACCTTAACTTGATATGAAGCACTTACACGAGGAATGGTGCAGACAAGAAGGCAGATTTATTGTACTTTGGGGTAAAAAAACATGATTCCATTTAGGGAGGAAAAAAAACCATTGACACTCAGTAAGCAACACTGCCATCTAGTGGAACGGTGACACACCACCAAGACTTTCAAGACCAGATAGGAAACGTGAATTCATTTGCTGGTTTCAATTTTCACCATAAAACGGCGCTTTTAATAAATAAGCTGGCCTTCAAAGAACCTCAGATCTTCTTGAGAAACTATTTTATCTTTAAAATGCATAAACGTATGTGCTTTCTGGTTTGGTTTTGTTCTGGTAAAGAACGAGTTGTAGTTTTTTTAATGGACCATCAAATTAATTCTCAACCTGAAAGTTAATAAACAGTTTGGGGCAACCTGCCTCTTTGAACATCCATCACCTTTGTTCGACAGCAACCCCTGATTATGACAGACAGTTTATAAAGAAGCAAAATTCAACTGTACAAGAACTACATTAAGTTTACTCATTTCCTCTTTCTATTTTTACAATCTAGGGTGCTAAGTATTTGAATTCCTGGAAAAAAATCATTAGAAACACACCAGTAACAATTTTACATAAATCACATGACCCAACTCTTATTATGACTAGACAATAACAGTGGAAGATATTGGTGTGAGGATGTGGGAATGCTGCTCTTAATGAATAATAAAGTAATTCTTCTCAAGGCTTTAATTTTCCTTTATGCCCAGGTGTTGCAGTAAATGTGTTGATTTGATGAATTCTATGAGCATATAAATGAGAATACTTAATGAAACAGCTGGATGAAAAAAGAAATAATGTTGTGAGAATAACATATTGTTAATAACCACAATCTCACATTGGCATCTCTGTTATTACTGAGATTTTAGATTCTGGGTTAAGTGCTCTGCTCTTTGGAATATCCACGATGGTTATTGATCTTGCTAATGAGTTCCTCTATTGCAACATTTCTGGGTTTATGGTTGGAGGCACGCACGGATTCTAGAATGCATGAGTCTGATGTGATCTTCATCAAACCATATTCTTGGCAAATAATAAACTCAGTTAAGGATTTCAGGAAGAGCCAAGTCCTGGGAAAGAGGTATACAAGTGTAGAGTAAGAAGTTGAATTAAAACATCTTTAGGTTGCGTTTTGTCATTAGACACAACTGAATGTTTCAATTCTGAGAACCTGAGATTGTCCAGAAAAAGTTCAGAGTGTAGGATATAGCTGTCACTAAGTCAGAGCCAGGAGTGTTGCAATTCTCAAAGCAACATTAATTAGGGAGTGGGCGTGGTCCCTGAAGTACTATATCTGAATGAGGCTGTTCTTTTTTAGGAGTGTCTGGACTGCCTCAGCATTCACTGCAATTTGCAATAATCTCCCCTGCCCCCCAGTCTGAAAGCCTTCCTTCACCACATATTCAACTTGTCTCAGTCTTGTGCATAATGCTACTATTTGGGTATTCCTAAAGCCGAAGCAATAAAAAAGGATAGGGGAGCCTTATATTAACTCAAACATAATGCCAAAGTCATCTCCAAAAAAGTTTATTAGCATGATTAAAAACATTTTCTTGAATAACAACGAAAGAATTTCTAAACATGAAAGAGTATCAGTGGCTATACCTTATAACCAATATTTGCAAGTGAATGGACAGCTTTATTGCCAGTCTTCATTTTATTAAAAACAATCCATTTATTGGTTCCACGAAGTCATGACTATTGCTTTGTCTGGGAATGAGTCCCTACTGCAGTTAAGTATAAAAAATATCTTCCATCATAATTGAAGTGTGACCTGCATTGAAGTGTGGCTCTGAGTAAAGAGTTGATAAAAATCCACAAAGAGTTGGGTTTTTGTTTTAAAAACATTCCTTTTACACACTACAAAGAAATAATTAGTATTTTGGCTTTTTAAATTCCTACATGATATTTAGAATGGCGGTCCCCAAAGGCCCTCCCTTCACGTAACTGTTAACACAGACCCTCTTCTGGAGGGTGCATCCTGGAGGGTATGGACTCCGAAGACTTCGACCTCCACGTGTTTATACTGGTTTGAGAACAAAGACAGCGTCATCCAGAACGTAGTAGTCATTATACATGTCGCCTTCACACAGGTATGGCAGTCTGGTGAAAGCTTCGATAACAAAACCAGCTTTTCTGAAAACTTCAGGCAGACTATTCACTTGTTCTTCCCAGTTCTGTCCTTTGATTTCCAAAATTTCTGATGGTTTCTCCCACTTGCCACCTACTAAAACAAATAAAAACATTAAGTTAAATTCTAGAACAAACAAGTTATTATTATTTTTTTTTTTAAATAGAGACAGGGTCTCGCTCTTGCTCAGGCTGGTTTCGAACTCCTGAACTCAAACCATCCGCCTGCCTCAGCCTCCCAAGAGCGCTAAGATTACAGGCGTGAGCCACCGCGCCCAGCCAAAACAAGTTATTTGAAGAGGGAAGCGGTGAGGGACAGTAATTGCCAGGGACACGGTATGTTCCAGACCCGAGTGCTTTGATGTCTCATCTGCCCTCTACTTCCCAGGTACCCCTTGAGGTAGGTGGGCACAGAGATAAAGTACAGACTCAGAAGGGCTAAAGAATTTGTCCAAACTTGCAAAGTTAGTGAGTGTCAGAGCAGAAATGCAATCCAAGGTTAAAGCTGTTTCAGATACCATCCTCCATTAGACTAACTGGGGGCTGTAATAGTTAATGGGTTCAGAAAACTGGTCATTAAATTCTAGAATACAGAAACAGAGTAAAACAGAGTAGCATGTTATACCTGAAAGAGAGTTTTAGACAAATGCAAGAAAATACCACCGGTGTAGTTAACTTATGCAACATATTACTTAGATTTACTAGGCTAAAAATAAAAATTGGTTCATGAAGGATTTTAATTTATCAAAACAGACCGTCAGTGTGTTTTCCAAGGGAAGTTGACTTGTACCCTACCTTTTCATAAAAATCAAACATTAGAATGGATAAGTCAACCTAGTATTTCTTGGACTAGTGACTAAAGTCTCTGTCAGTCATTGCCAAACCTATGAGCATCAGCCACCTGGGGGATGAGAGGATAGGCAGGGTCTTCAAATTCACATACAAACCAAGCACTGACTATAGTCACATACACAAAAGTGACAGTATATCTAAATTTTGGAGTGCTTTTAGGTATTATGGTGATGCATAAGCTACATATATCCTTAAAAATGTTACTGAATTCAGATTGTGAATAACCTTCCGTCAAAGAGAAAGTATATAATCAGTAGGTGCCAGAAGTACGAACACTATGGTGGAGAGATTCTCCATTGTCTTTGATGGCCCAGCACTGAACCCTCTCCCTGTGTCTGGGGAACTCCCTGCAGCCGAGGCACTGGCACACGACCTACACTCAGGCACGCTTGCCTGAGACCTGGAAGGAAGATAGTGACAAAAGCAGTGGGGACGCAAGGCTCGAGGCTCATTCTCCAAGGGGTAGAGCAATGGCAGTGAGACCAACTGGCTGGGGCAGCAGCAGAATGGAATGACGACAGAGTTATGGCACCTAGTGCCTGGCGGTAGCAGCATGCTCTTCAGACCCATTTTATAGCGTGATTTGGGGCATTTTTCCTGGCTGTGGATCCCATAAATGATTCTTCAGTCCTCTCAGTGACTCTGGGAGCTATCCCCCAAATCCTTTCAGTGAATTTTCTTTTGCTTAAGTCAACCCGAGTCTGTTCCTGCTGCTGACAAAGACAACCCCCAACCGAATACAGCTCCAGGCCCAGGCATATTCAGGACACAGAGGGAGGGGGACACAGGGGACAGCGGGCCCACACGTCTGTTCCACAGCGACATTAGGAAAGGGTCTCTGCATTCGAAACTGGGCACAACTAGGTAATGCCAATGTATTTCTTCATCGTACTAGGATGTGCTGTTCACTAATTTTTCTCTTGTTCTACATGAAGCCACTTCCTTCTACCGCTTCTCCCTTCCCAGCAGTTACTGGCCCAGAGCCGGGCACACAGCAGGGACCCAAGGACCAGTGACTGAACTGCTCTGGAAAGTTAAAGTACTGATTTGCTGTCAAACAATACCCCTTCCTGGGAATATGTTACGTCCAAATCAAAATCTCACCCAAAACACCTAACACCTGTGAGGGTTTGTAAAATCCATGAAAAAAAAAACCATCATATGCACATTTAGAAATGTGCCCCAGGATAAAATCTCAACGTGAAACGGTTAAACTGGGTTATAAATCATATTTACACAATTTCAAAAAGTTCCTGATTACAGTTCCTTAATAAGAGGTTCCTCTCTCTTCAGTTCTTCCTTTCTAAAAAGAGAAAGGAGGAAGAAAAAAGAAAGCCAATTCTCCTTTAAAATACATACCCCAACGGGACTGCGCACACACGCACAGAAATGAGGACTGTGAACAGAGGCCACCTCGATCTCCGTCTGCAAGTCAGTCTGATTCTCTTTTATGTTGGTAAGATTCTTCTCTTTCTCCTCCCCCATTTGATTTAAATCAACTGCTATTTTTCATCTAACGCATTTATATTTTAAGCTCCTACAAATAATTTTTAAATGTGTAACATTATGAAAGGTGTCTAAGGCGATAAGTTTCCTTTTTCCCCAGAGAAATAGGGAATAAAAGACTAGCTGAAAAAAAGTTTCATATTAACCTTGAAAATTCCTTCTGTTATGCTGCCTTAGTGAGCACCTCGCTAAACAAAAGGTTCTTAAAATCATGTATGCTAGTCATCAACAATTCCATTCCCAGGTGGGCAAACTCGCTCTGCATAGAGTACTAAATAGTATCTGCTGTTTTAAAAGAATAATGTTTCTGTAAATTAAAAGTAACTGTCATTAAAAAAAAAAAAAAACAATATGACTCCTTCTACAGAGAATAGCTGTCCTCCTATATCTATTTTAAAAATTCTGCCTATACTCATTTTTTCCTCTATAAAAGAGAAAGTGTCTCCTACATCATAGTTCTAATAATCTCAGATTTGCCCATAACATTTGGATCATAAGGCAGGGAAGGAGCAAAAGTTCTTAAAATAACTTTTTTCTCATCTGTAAAGAAATACACCAAAATGTTAACAGTAGTTATTTCATGTGAAAGGACTACAGCTTTCTTCTTGATTCTACTTATAGTAATATTCTATTTTTTCCTAGTAAGTATATATTGTTTTTATAAAATATTTTATCAATTGGCCGGGAGCAGTGGCTCATGCCTGTAATCCTAGCACTCTGGGAGGCTGAGGTGGGTGGATTGTTTGAGCTCAGGAGTTTGAGACCAGCCTGAGCAAGAGTGAGACGCCATCTCTACCAAAAAAAAATAGAAAGAAATTAATTGGACAGCTAAAAATATATAGAAAAAATTAGCCGGGCATGGTGGCGCATGCCTGTAGTCCCAGCTACTCAGAAGGCTGAGGTAGAAGGACTGCTGGAGCCCAGAGTTTGAGGTTGCTGTGAGCTAGGCTGACGCCACGGCACTCACTCCAGCCTGGGCAACAAAGCGAGACCCTGTCCCCCACCAAAAAAACTTTTATAATAATTGATGTTATTTTAAAGAAGAATCCTTATCTTTTAGGAATATATTTTGAAAGATGTGCAGATCAAATGGCAAGGATTTGCTCTGAAATAACATGGGAGTGCGGGAGTGGATGGGGAGAGAGAAAACAAGATTAGGTTGAAGCCATGACAGCGGGGGGTTCACTGTGCTCATGCTGCTTCTGCATATGTTTGACATTTTCTATAATAAAAAGCTTTGTTTATGTGTCAAAAATTAGTTCTCTACTTATTTTCTAATGTGGTTTTTTAAAAATAGTAAAAAGAGTATTTTATTCCCTCTACCGAGGAGATAAACTTTCAAACTTTTCAGTGGATAATATGTTTAAAAAAAAATCTAAAGTTCAAGACCAGCCTGGGCAACACAGCAACACCCGACTCTTTAAAAAAATCCTGTAGAATATGAGAATTCTTTTTTTTTTTTTTGAGACAGAGTCTCACTTTGTTGCCCAGGCTAGAGTGAGTGCCATGACGCCAGCCTAGCTCACAGCAACCTCAATCTCCTGGGCTCAAGCAATCCTGCTGCCTCAGCCTCCCGAGTAGCTGGGACTACAGGCATAAGCCACCATGCCCGACTAGTTTTTTTCTATATATATCTTAGTTGGGCAATTAATTTTCTATTTATAGTAGAGATGGGGTCTTGCTCTTGCTCAGGCTGGTTTGGAACTCCTGACCTCGAGCAATCCGCCCACCTTGGCCTCCCAAGTGCTAGGATTACAGGCGTGAGCCACCGCACCCCGCCGAATATGAGAATTCTTAAAGAGAAACTTTTCACAGGAGCAGGAGGTGGTGTGACATATCATCCAAACTTCTCTTTTTGGCTAATATGTTGCTTAACTGGTAGGGGAGGGAACAGCAGTTTCCTCACAAGTCCCTGCTTCTGTAGGAAACCACAACTGGTTTTCTCCCACACACAAATTTCACAGAAGTTGGAAATAAGTAGAGATATAAAACTCCAAAGTTGCAAATACTTATTTTACCCTATGCTACTAGTTCTTAAAGGAAAGTGTTAGAAGTCAGTGTCTCTTTTTTTAATTTATTTTTTAGTATTTCTGTTATAGAGATGGGGTCTCTATGTGTGGCCCAGGCTGGCCTCCAACTCCTGGGCTCAAGCAATCCTCCCACCTCAGCCTCTCAAATAGCTGGGACTACAGGCACGTGCCATCATGCCCAGCTTCTTAGCTTCCCTTTTAAAAACTTTATTTGAAAGATAACTTGAGATTAAGATAGATCTGAACTCAAGTCTGTGTTCTTGATCACAATATTGTCAATCAAATAAGATAAATGCTACAAGGACCCACAAAGAGTATACCCGTGCCAGGAAATCAAATCTGCCTAGCCATGGCATGGCTAGCTCAGTTGGCCTCTGCTCAGTAATCAAAGACATCGTAGGATAAGCCAGGGCTGGATTTCCACAGGTGTACATCTTGCCCTTTATCATGTTTCCCGAAGGGACACCAGGCACACAAAGAAACAATTGTGAATTGCCATGAATTCCTAGCAATCCCAACCCCCACAAAAACCCTAAAATCGATACTGCTCATGTGCTCAATCAGCGGCAGCAACATTTGTACAAAGAGTTTGATACAGGTCACCACACTGAAAACAGCAATCCTGTGAGGGGAGGGGCACAGGTGAGGAAGCAGGCTGGGAGATTATGTGATCTGCACAAGATCAAAGGAAAGCTTGTAAGTAGCAAGAATGTATACCTGGACCCCAAACTTCTGACTCCAGATATGCTGCTACCTCTGCTCATGATGCTGATTTCACTGGAACCTCTCTGGGGCCATCCTCAGGTAACCAGACATCATACAAACCAGCAGGTAAATGTCATAAACACGGAGAGTTAGGACACGTGAGGACCACTGGTGTCTATTTGTATAGTCTTGTTTGCATTGGGAGTAAGGTAAGAAAATGGCTGGATTTCCTAGCCAGAAAATATAAGTAAAATAAAAACACAAGGTGAGGTGAGAAGCCACTAAACCTCCATCTGCTTCCTCCCGCAGGTGCTGTGGGTGCCTGCACGGTCTCGGTCATACAACCACATTACCTAGAGGTGGACTACACTCAGGAGGCTGTCACCATAGAGTGTAACTTCTCTGCAACTAAATGCCCTTCAGAGCATCCAACAAGCCTGTGGTTTCGCTACGGCACTCACCAGCCTGAGAACCTGTGCCAGGACGGATGCAGAAGTGAGGCAGACAAATTCACGGTGAGGGAAAATCTGGTACAAAACCAAGTTTCCCTCACTGTAAACAGAGTGACTTCAAATGACAGTGCAATTTACATCTGTGGAATAGCATTTCCCAGTGCAAAGGAACCCAGAGCTAAGCAAACCGGAGGTGGAACCACGCTGGTAGTAAGAGGTCAGTCAGTTCGGCTTTATTTCAGTATATACTTGCATTTTGCTCAGACCTTTACAATCATTACAGAACTTACTCACATGCAAAAAATCATGAGATAAACTTGCTAATTTGATACCCTAGCCAGTGAGGGGCATGATCTGAACACAAGTCACCCTGAGATTTGGATTAAAGAACTACTCCAACCCTACCTCCCAACATCCATGGACACAGTCAGTGGTATGCAGTTGCTACATTCTCTCTCTACATTCTCTCTCTACATTCTCTCACTTTGCTAGTGAAGGCTAATCAATCACTTTCGTCCTTTCTGTATATTACAGTGGTTTGGTGTAATGTATCAAAGGAAACTTGTGATGAGAAACTATCAGCTTTCTTAGGACCTGATCTGGTATTGCACCACTTAGAACAAAGCACTAGAGAAACATAAATGATCAATACACTGGACTCAGAGAAAATATGCCTTATGGAGAATTAGCAAAATGTTGGAAAGAAGCCACTGGAGGATTGCTGAGCCTTCCCATTCTGCCTGGATAACAAAGAACTGAGAGTAATGGCCCTGGCTTCCTGAGATTTGCTAAAACCCGTGACAATTCCTCACCCAAGTGAGAACATCAAACCTAGCTAAATCCTATCAGTAATCTCACCAAGTCATTCCTTGACTAGTCAGAGATTAAGAAACTTCAGAGAAGTTTCACATGATTTTAGGGGAAGAACGAGAGCAGCAGTAACTCCTTGCCATTGTTGGATCTCTTCCCTTAAAAAGGACTCTGGTATGATGAGCAATTTGAAATCATTAAAACATAAGCTCAAAATCAACCAACCCTTCAGTTTTAAAATAGGACTCTGAGTAACTGAGATCGTCCAGTATTATAAATGCTGATTTTAACTCTCAGGGATGTTCTAAAGGGTTCTGAATATTTGAATGTCATTTAACCTTAGTTTATTCTCACCTGTAAGATAAATTACAAATGAGTTAATATACACAAAGCACTTTTAATAGTGCTTACCATATATCAAATACTCAGTAAAAATTAGCCACTGGTAGTAAAACATATACATGACAACTTTAGATATTTGTGTCTCACTGCATTAGCCTTCTATAATAAAATGTTAGTCAAAAGGAAAAATGGAGGCCGGGTGCGGTGACTCACGCCTGTAATCCTAGCACTCTGGGAGGCCAAGGCAGGCGGATTGCTCGAGGTCAGGAGTTCGAAACCAGCCTGAGCAAGAGCGAGACCCCGTTTCTACTATAAATAGAAAGAAATTAATTGGCCAACTAATACATATAGAAAAAATTAGCCGGGCATGGTGGCGCATGCCTGTAGTCCCAGCTACTCGGGAAGCTGAGGCAGCAGGATTGCTTGAGCCCAGGTTTGAGGTTGCTGTGAGCTAGGCTGACGCCACGGCACTCACTCTAGCCTGGGCAACAAAGTGAGACTCTGTCTCAAAAAAAAAAAAAAAAAAGGAAAAATGGTGTGTAAAGAGATGAAGGTCTTCTTTACGACTGCAAGGCTTATATGAAGACATTCTTCTCTGTGGTCAGAAATGAAGGTTTTGAGACCAGCATTGCAACTTCCTGCCTTTTCTATATAGAGGTCCTAATTTAGCACTGCAACTTTTTCTTTCAAAGTTGTATAGATGTGGTTAATTCATTAGTTTCACAAATAAAAATGTACATTGTATAAACTGAGTTCACAGGATAAGCATCTATGGGATAATTTAGTTTGAAAGTACAGGTTATTCAGATAATAATTACACATGTAATTATATTTTGTACTTCAAATAATCAGATACTTGAAGACATGGCATGTTATTTAATTCTTACCTAGAGCACAGGACACTTCTACAAGGACAGAGAATTTCAGAATATGGAATAATTTTCCATATGGAATATGGAATAATTTTCAATAATTCTACTTCTAGAACTTTATTATTACATAAAGAAATAAGAATACACATAGCAATAACACCACCTGTCTTTTAAGCAAGCAATGCTTGCTTATAACACATGATCTTTGCAGGTTCTTTTACAGACTGCACTATTCAGCTATGTACACTAAACAGTTCCAAAGTTATAGATGTCAGCATTGACAATACACGTGAAAATGTCTTAACTATACAAGCAGACTCTTGATGACACTTGTACAGCATTTCTACCAAAAGAAATTTTAAATGTCCTTGAACAAACTATCTTGAAATGTTCATCTAACTCCAAGTAATGCTTTATATAAAAAGTGGTTCTTACCATTATGACAAATGGTTAAATGAATTTTTAATTTTTAAAAATGAGTAATGCTTTTGGTATAATACATTAAAGAACCCATGAACTAACTTTAACTATCACATACTTGACTGTCTTTTGAATCAAGAAACCATGAACAAATTTTTATATGAACAGGCAAGCAGAGTAAGCTCACGTTTCACCTCTCTCATGTAGTATCAATTATATTTTATATATGTATTTGCAAGAATATGCTTCAATAATGACTGTGTTTCTTTGTTTCTGTAATTAAGAAATTGAGCTTCTCAGCAAGGAACTGCGGAGTCTCCTGACAGCTGTCCTGTCACTGCTCTCTATCTACATTACTGGTTTATGTGTCGTCTTCATAGTTCTCTCCAAAGTAAGTCACATTTTCTTGCAGTGATTTCCCTATAACCTTGAAGGTTATCACAAAGAAGATAATTTCCGTCTCTCCACAACTTGTGAGCCTCAGAAAGAGTTCACCTAATTAATATCTTCCTTTGCATCTGCAGGGAATACCACCTGCAGGAGAGAGCTGTAGAAAGAGGCATAAATTCTTATCACTGAAATGATTAACCAGAGTACACAATTTACAGTGTTTTCTCTTTAAAGCCCATTAATATAAAGAACCATCTTCTATGCTATCTTTCTGCTGCACGGGTGAGGGTTGGGGAGGTAGGAGTGGGATATTATGGTTATATATGAAAGCCCTAAGAATAGTCTTTAAGAACAAAAAGGGGTTAACAAAGAGACTAGAAGCTACCTGAAAATATTCAAAAAAGGCCTAAAGCTGCTGAGAAAAAACATCTTTTGGCTGAGCATATGTTGTAAGAGGGGGTATATACATGTTGTGGTATGATTACTATAAATCCTACAATCAACATCAGTTTAATTTCTTAATGGAATAAAAGCACCTCAGAAATGATAAAAATCATCTCTTAATATCATTTAAATATTAAGGTAGTTTAAACTTATTATGGTATGAGATTATCTGCCACAATTATGAGTGTATAAAATGTTTTATCTACTTTTCTTTTCTTCTTAGCAGTCAAAATCTAACACTCTAAGGAACAAAGAAACAAAAGAAGATTCCCAAAAGGTAAAGACCAACACTTGCATAATATTTTTAAAATTGTGGCTGGTTGTAACTATTTCAAATCTGAAATATTTTAAGAAACACAGAGAATATCATGATAACTTTTCAACCATGAACATTAATGTTTCCTACTGTTGAGAAACTCAAGTGGTAAACTGTGATTTAAATTTGATAGTTCTCAATCATAAATTAATGTACTTAAAAAGAGTTAACTGTAGGTATAGATGAGGGGGGTAGTTTCTGAGACTGGTGGTGGCAGTAAAGAAAGAAAATTTTCTGATGATGTGCAACAATCATTGCTAATAGTCCTCAAAGAAAGATATTTTTTCTCATTTGTATTTACAGAAGAAGAGTGCTCGGCGTATTTTTCAGGAAATTGCTCAAGAACTATACCATAAGAGATATGTGGAAACAAGTCAACAACCTGTAAGTGTAAAATATCAAAAAAAGGTAACACAGATATAAAGCATGTCTGAAAAAACTAAGCTGCCAACAAGCTGTCAATAACCCTGCTTTCCTTCAGAAGAGTCTAAAAGAGGATATTCACATAAAAAGCATTTTTGTATAGAACCTGTTTTGATAAACACATAACAAAGAACACCTGATATGGTTTTGTTTTTCTTTTACTTTGTTTTATTTATAAATTTTTTTCTTATTTTTTATTTTTTCTAAGCAGGAGCTTACTCAGCTTAGTCACTGATATGGTATTAAATAGCCCCAGGCTCATGTCTTAATGACATGGAAACTCTCCGAAACACATTGGACATAAGCAATGTTTTCAAAATAGATAACGATGCTTTAAAAGGATGAATTAAAAGCTACTTTGTACAGTATCTTGCATGCAGTAGTAGGCATTACATAGATGTTGCAAATATTTGTGGATCAAATTGTGAAGAAAAAATTACTTGTTACTGATAAGGCAAAAATAAATTCACATTAGAAAAGATGCAGTTAATTAGATTAAAAAATGAGTATTTTGTCAGGAAGAATACATCTATATTATCTAATAAATTCTGACAATGTTATATAAACAAGTTTTTCAAACAAGATGCTGTTTTTAGAGCTAGTACAACAGATACTTGGTTTCCATGATACATAATCAGTTTGCTCAGATTTAAACTAAAATGTATACAATGTAAATTTATATACTAGTAAAACTATTTTCCTCTTAAATAGCAGCCAAGAGGCAAATGTAACAGGAGACTGATACAAGATATATTTTTTTAATCTAAGTTTTAAAAAGGATTTTTTTCCAAGGACAGAATATTGTCCAAGCAGTCATTTCATTCTTCAGTGTATATATAAAATACATAAATATGATGGATGGTCTAATTACCTAAGATGCCATGCTGAATACTTATGCCTGTGCACACTTTTTTCTTATTGAGGCTGAAGCATCTTTTTCAATAAAGAGGCAAAGGTAAGTGGCCTGAAGGTAGGCCTAGGAGTAAGAATTGTAAAGTTCCCAGCCAGGGTTTTGACGATGACAACTAAAAAGGAAAATTATTTTTCAGTTCTCACATCCTACCTTAAATGTACATAGGGAAGATGGCAACCTGACCTTTAAGAATACTAGAAGGGTACTTAGGACCCAGAATGCAAGATGGCACAATGACTTCTATGTTGCTTGGAGGATGACATCATTGGTTACATAACCTTAAAATGGCTCGCTATTTACCATTGCAGGAGAAAGAAGACAACACTTATGAAAACAGAAGAGCACTTTCCAACTATGAAAGACCATAGAAACATTTTTAATTTTCAATTAAGTCACTGAAAACCCAACTCCAGAAGCTACGGAAGTGTTAATGGACACTCAACAGGTCTTTTTTTTTTTAATTCTTTAAAATTTAATAACTTTTACTACTTTCTTTTTATTTTCTTGAAGACATGTTGTGTCCCATCAACAGGTCTTAAAAAAAAAAAATCAAAGGTAACTGTCTGCAAAGAAGATGCCAGAGTACGAAACAATCACTAATAGTAACCACCAAAATACTAAAACCAAACAAAAAGCAACTGAAAAATACTTTCCTAATTTGCCAAGAAAATTCTAAGCAGCCTAACATTTTCGAAAACTTTTATAAAAAGTTTATTTCAGTCAACACATGAGGTATGTGATGACTGCTACTCTGAAGATTTGAAGTCAAACTCTACATGCCTCAATCTTGAGTGGAAGAATCATCTTTCTGGGTTGTGGAAATGATGGGACAATTAGAATAAGTTGGGAGGGAGCAAAGTGCCAAAATATGAGTCAGAGAAATTCATTTTGAAAAGTCCTTAGCATGAAAATTATTTCTTCTGATACTATAATGGGGCAATGGTATCGTGCACATTTGCCTGCCAAGGTATGCAAAATAACTTACATCATGCTACCAGCAAAAACTGAAAATAGAGATTAGAGTAAGAAAATAAAAGCCAAAATAAAGAAAATCCAAAGCAGGTTGAACAGAACAAATAAGCCACAACTGACTCTAGATGTCAGTGTTGTGCCAAATAAACAGCACCAAGGCAGGCATGTGCAGCAAGCATTGACTTTATGAGTATATTTGCAATACTGATTTTTAACTAATTTAGGTTAATATCAGATAGGGGGCTGGGTACAGAAAAGATATTTATGGAATTTGGTACCACACTTCACTAAGAAAACATGATATGGATTGCTCTTTGAAAACTACTTTCGTATAAAAAATCTAAAACTTCCACAAGAGTGTATTCATTATTAAACATAAATTACAACCTATTATGTTTATTTCATTACAGTGTTTCTTTTAAACTGGTATTAAATGAGACATATTCTTTTTAAAACCTAGATAGAATTTTAAGGCTTAAGATCCCTGAAGTAATTTTGCATTAATGCACTTAAATCAGTGATATCAAACCCTTCTGATCACGTGTCCAGAAAAATGCAAAGAAGAGAGGAAGGAGCATGTAACCTCGTTCTATTTGTACGTGCGTGTACACGTGTGTGCACATGTATGTTATACACATGTGTTGTGTGTAGTGTATGTATGTATGCATGGCTATGTATGTTTGTATCTTATATAGAAAAACAGAAATTAAACAATGGCATAAATAGTAATATAAATGCTAATATTTTCTTCCTATATTCAAAAATAAATTGTTTTGTGTACTCTCTGAGGTGTATACCCCCACACTTTGAGACCACTGGCTCAGGTGAAATAAATGAACTTCTAAACCAGATTGTAAGAACATTGGCAAGCACTAATTCCATCTAGATGAATAGAAGAAGTGTTGAATTAGACCATTTACTTTCCATTTCTGGGAGTCATTACATTTTGGTACTTAATGCCAGAGCTGAAAATACGCTGTTCTTTGTGTAGCTAACAAGGAGACAAAATCTCTAAGATGAACTAGTATCTGATTCAGAATATGACTTTCCCAAATGTAAGGACTGTGTTTCAAAGATTGATTTTTAAGGGATCCGCTTTCCAAAAGGATTTCTATTCATCTAAGTCATGTATAAGAGTGCCTGATGTATATGTAACATTCATTTATTCATCGACCAAGCCAACAATATTTGCAATAGTACCGCACTATTATACAATCAAAGACCTCTTTTGCATATTATCCTTGGGTCACACAACTTGCCCTACCCTAATCCCGGATTTTGTTCACCCTCATGCTTTTGAATATGCTCTTCCCCTTTGCCTGGTAAAATGCTTCAGATTACAAACAAAGCTCAAATGTCAGCCCCAACATGAAACCTTCCCTTACTCCCCCAACATTTAATGGAACTTTTTTTCTCTAACCCTATGGTACATTTTCATATTTCTTATCACATCATCCTGCCATTATCTCTTTACATCTATTTTCTATCTTACTCTGTGTTTTAAGAGTAGAAGCACAATTCCCATTTATCCTTACATTTCCACTGCCTAGCACTATCTGGTACACAGTAGGCCTTCAAATGTGTTTATATAAAAATGCAATTGAACAATGTTTCTACAGAAAAATATTCTTTCAGCATGTCAACTGAGATGTGTGGCACACTTCTCTTCCTAGCCATCAACCCTCACCCCTTTCCAAGACTGTTCATGGAATCCCTAACACTATTAATTTTCCTACTATCTGAGCATCCAGAAGAATATTCACTGGAAAAGATGAAGCTATAGCTTCCTGATTAGATTTAAACTTCCCATGACAATGAAAAGTGAATAATACTGAAACAATTTGTTTTATTAATAGTTTGGGCTGCTATAACAAATTACCATAGACTAGGTGGCTTATAAACAACAGAAATTTACTTCTCACAGTTCTGGAGGCTGCAAGTCTGAGATTAGGATGCCAGAATGGTTGGGTTCTGATAAGGACCCTCTTCCCAGCTGCAGACTGCTGACTTATACACTCATGTGGCAGAGAGCAGAGAGAAGCAAAGTCTCTCAGAACTCTTATAAGAGTACTACTCACATTCATGAAGGCTCTGTCCTCAGCTAATCTTAATTACCTCCCAAAGGCCTCATCTCCTAATGCCATCACAATGGGGGGAGAGAGAGGTTTCAACATATGAATTTGGGGGAATGCAAACATGCAGTTCATAACACAACTTTAAGAGGAAAACATAGAGGTGTTCTAGTGTCTACATACCCTCTAGAAACAAGAGCACTTAAACCACATACCAAAAGATGCTAACAGAAAAAAAAAAAAGATGCTAACAGGATTTTTAAAATAAGTAATCTGTTTTTCATACTATGTAAATCTTGAGAGAATCTGAAATCCTGGCTATTAGGCAGACAGTTAAGTCTCTGTGGCATCAATTAACATAAAACAACGGAGAATGCGCAGACTTTGAGATAAAGTTAAAATGCAGAAAGAAGACTTCAAATTCTGATTATTGTTAAGAGCTTCAGACGTATCTAAAAGATACAATTATTTCAATCTGAAAAACTGTGAACAAGTATAATCAATAAAGCCACAAATAACAAAGTAATAGAATAGTACAGAATGAAATAAACCTAACATTTATTAAATACCGATGAGACAGACACAGCTGGGCACCGTCCTGTATGTTAGATTATTTAATTCTCACAATAAGCCTCAAAGTAGGTATTAGCCCCTTTTTTTGCAGATGAAACACTAATATCTATGAGAGGCCCAAGTAATCCATATTTCAAACAGGGGTCAGCCCCCAAAACCCAAGCTCTTTCCACAAAACAGTTCTGCCAGAGTCTTGCTTATTTCTATTTAGACTGATGAGAGCGTTAAGACTCAACATGTGTAATTTAATCAGACCAGTGGCCCCAGAAGAAAGTAAGAAAGTTGCCACAGGGCTACACCACCCAAAAAGCATAGGCCTACATAGTTTCACAAAAGAACTCTACCAAATTGCCAAAGAACAGGATATAGAGCATAATGTTCCATATTATTTTTTTACAACATGAGAACATTGATACCAAAACATAACAAAAGATAATATCTACCCTCCTTATAAATCATATAAATAAAAAAAAGATCAGGTGCAGAACAAATATCATTATCGATAATAATATTAATGCTCCTATTTTTATTTTGAATTTTTGTAAACAGAATCTAGTGATGCATTTAAGAAAAAAAAAAAAAAAGACTATCAGCTGGGCACAGTGGCTCACACCTGTAATCCCAGCACTTTGGGAGGCCAAGGCAGGAGATTTCCTTGAGCCAGGAGTTCAAGACCAGCCTGGGCAACATAACAAGACACCATCTCTACAAAAAATAATTTAAAAAATTAGCTGGGCATGGTGGCACACAACTATAGCCCCAGCTACTCTAAAGGCTGAGGCAGGAAGATCGCTTGAGCCCAGGAGTTTGAAGCTGCAGTGAGCTATGATAGTGGCCCTGAACTCTAGCCTGGACGACAAAGTAAAACTCAGTGTCTAGGAAGAAGAAAAAGAAAAGACTATTGAGTTTAAGCCCAGAAATCAAGGTAGGGGTGGGGAAGAGAGATCTGAAAAGAACTATTAATTTCATAAGTCAAGGAAGGAAAAACAATATGACCAATCTCCACAGATGTTGAAAACTTAGGTGACAAAATTCCTGATTTTTTAAGCTCTTACTAAAATGAGATTTTAAAAATGTACTATCTCAAGCCAAACAACATCAAACTCGTCAAGAAAACAGCATAATATTTAAAGTAGAAATATTTTCATTAAAGTTAGAAATAAGAAAAAATGTCTGCCGAATGCTGATATCTCGAAGGGCATCAACAGGGGCCTCCCCGGGTAAAGCTGCACACTGCAGCAGTGCTGCTAAGTCTCAACACCCAGCTCGGAGAAGGGCGAGGCTATCTGTAGTGTTCACCAATTCCCATGGTATAAATACACGGTCAATTTCCATACTAGCCACCTTTAACAACCAATTCATTAAATTCCTACCAATATAACAATCAGCTATCAGAAGCCAGTCCCAGTCCCTTCTAGCATACTGCTGCTTACATCAGACAGTGATGAGATACAGAGTGCTGGTAAGAAATACTTTCTCAGATACCTTTAAGTGGAAAAAGGCAACGAAAGTATTTATAATGGACTTCTATCTGTATAAATAATTTTTTAATGTACATACATACTTATATTTACGTAGACTATCTTTTGAAGAATATTTAAGATACCTGAACAAGATTGTGGAACTGGAGTGGATGAGAAACTTTTCATTGTATGCCCTACTGCAAGCTGCTTAAACTTTAATAAAAATTACAATTTTGAAAAATACTATTAAACTTTCATTTTTAAAATGTAATTCTTCATTTCTTGGTTATGTACTTTACCTTTTTTTAGCACTTAAAACAATTCTCAATATCTAGATGGATGAGAGCTTTAAGACAAAACATGTCTAATTTAGCTAGACCAATGACCCCAGGAAAAAGTAATAAAGTTGCCAAAGGGCTGTATAAATGGTTCTTTAATGTACACATAGATTTGTATCTGCTTAGACTATCTCGCTAAATTCTCACTAGATTTAACAACCTCTAACCAAAACTGGGCCCATAAACCAAATAAACTATATTAATGGATTAGAAAGATGTATTTTTACATCTTATTTTTTTCCCCAAATTAACCTAAGTGACAAAATTGTTGTGGTTCGACTTCAAGACATTTACCAAAAAAATTACACAAGTAATCATTTCTCCTACAACTGCTTTTTTTAAAAAAATAAATTAAGCCAAGTATGCAAAGCACACTCAGATATCCTTAAAACAGCCCAGTATTCATGAATTCACACACAGTAAGACCATTTTGTACCTCCCACTCCTCACAGTTGCACATGAAAATCATCAGGATCTAATTAGTGACTTACAGAAAGGAAGCAATAACAGAATGCCATGGAGCAGTCTGCAAAATTTATAGGTCACTAAAGGTCACCCATAGCAACAAGGCTTCTTGTCTCAGGTTTGCAATGTGTCACATGCCAGAATCCTTAGACTCAACAGGCAGCTCTGTACATCCACAATCAAGGAGCTTGTTTTCAATCCTTAGTGGAGACTGCCCTCTTGTCTAGTTTGACTTCCTTTCCATTTTTAGTGTCAGAAACACAAGGAAATAAAAGTCGTGGTTAGATTGATGTTTCTTCCCCCTGCTCTTCCACCTCCTGCTATGCCAGGAAGTAGCATTAAAGTTCTATCATGTGGTTGCCCAACAGGACACAGGAAGCCAAGACCTTACAAACTGAAGACTAGTGAGTGGAATGATGAGAGACGGAGCTGAGGCTTAATTACACAGGGAATAGCACTGAAATAAGATCAGGTTGCTGAATCACCAAGGAGGACATTTACTAGGCTTTTCTCACTGTGTAACATATAGATGATATATGGACACACACTTAAAGCAGTTTTTTTCTTTACCATGACAAACTATTCAACAATAGGAATGTAATATAAGTGGGAGAGGGGACATCTGTTCTATCTGTTCTCTTTACTCCCTTCCACATCTCAAGAATTCCCCATTTCCCCACCATCAATATAAATCTGAAAAGATTTGGTAAATGTTTAAGACAAGCATTAAATCTGAAGGGACTGAGACCTGGGGGGTGGGGGAATAAGGACAAGAAACTAAGGAGCAAGCAAGTGGTAACACAAATCCATACAGAACTCTACGGTTATAAGAAACATAAGCTTTATTCCTTAAGACAGAGATTTTCATGGTATTTGATAACTATGACACTTGCAAAATAGTGATGGATTCCTTAAAAATGTCTGTGAGCTCTTAAGTT